TGAGATAAAACAAATGACTAAAATGGAAAGGAATTTTTGAGAAGAAAATGTTTAATTTACAAAATGGCACATTGCCTCATGTAGTAAGCCTTACGAACAATACAAAGTCATAGCATGTCAAAAGGTCATCACAATACATGCCAAAGCCATCTGGTCACGAAAAATTAGTAAATGTCTCAATAAATTAAGCACTGATCCAAAGGTGCCCTTCTGCTCACAGGGCTGGTTCTCTGACAAACCAGCAGCACAATGAGGGGGACACACCTGGCACCACAGGGGCATGGCTTGCTTTCAGGTACCAGTTGCTGCTTCCTGGAAGTACAAGGAAGCCAGTACCTGTGTTACTTGGTTTGCTTCTCGACCTGTGCCGTTTCTGGCTAGGTGCAAGCCAAGCCCTGCTGGCACTACTGGTAGCAGATCTCAGTGCTTGGGGGTGACAAAATATCTTGGCTATTCACAGTAGGAGCCTTCAGTTCAAGGAAGCAGGATTCCTCTGTGAATAGAAGAATCCTTTGATGAGCAGAAAGGGACTGTCAGAACCAAACTATAATCTCCTACTGTATTAGCTGAAGGATACAATGAGTTAACCAAAAGTAAAATACCAGGTAGATGGGTGAACATAAAGTTATTAGTAATGCAAGATTCAGGAAGCTCACACACATGAAGGCCACAGTCCAACAATGAGTTAGGCATGCTTAATCCCATCAGTTCATAGTTGGTCTTAAGTAAGTCTAACTCTGAACAGGATTGAAGTTAATGAAATCTGCCAGGTAGGCCTGCTTGGAATTCCTAATTTTGCAATGTTAAAACAGTACTACAGAGGATTTAGACTCAGAAAATATTTTAAAAGTTCACAAAATAGAACAAGCATGATAGGGTTTCTGTTGCTAATCATTAGCAATGGCACAGGTACTTCACAAACCCATTCCACACAGCTGTATCTCAAGGGATGTAATGGTATGAGAGATAGTGCATAGCAAAAATAAATAAATAAATAAATAAAAATCATCAATCACGATGAGACCTTCAAAACTTTCACAGCAGACTATACCCTTCTGCAAAGCAATGCAAGAGGATGGCTGCTCACCAGTTTACTAACTAGTGTCTGACTTTCTTCAGCTTTGCAGCTTTTCTGTCACATCTGTTCCACAATTGAAATGTAAGTGAAAGCAAGGTCCAGATTGCTGCGACCAGGTTGAGATGAGAAAAATTAACTCAGTGTTTGTTAAAGATTTTGAAACTAAGAAATTGGGATATTGACAAAAACATCCCATCTGAAAGTTACGTAACAATAGGATAAAACAGATAATTGCATATTCTGCTGTACTAATTCAACAGGAATGGCAAAGGTTCCCCTAAATACAAAGTTGATATCATAAAATAAAATACAAGTAAATGCAATTAAAAATAACCAACCACTATACGTCACAAATTATGCCCATGAAAGGACCTCTTATTGTTGTTATATAGGATGTTGAGGCAGATGAATGATACTGGAACAGAACACACACACACCAAAAAAATACACAAACAAAAAGGTATTCTCTTTGTGGTCAGTGTACTTCTCTTAAATAACTAGCATTTTTTAAAATAATGTGAACACACTTAAAATATGCAATAAATTAACTGTTTGGTCCAAGTAACCCATGCTTCATTCACCATGCATCAGGATGCAGCCAGCTTCTTTTTTTGCTGGTCACCAAGAAAAAGAACAAGCAGCATGGGGAAATAATATCTATAAATAATGTTGTTCATACTCACTTCTACCACATTCATTTACCAAAACCATTAAAACATGTCTTTGGAATTCTCTCATTTTTTCAAAACTTACTGAGAATTTCCCAAAGACTGTTTAATGTTTAGTCATGCAATTATTTATAAAAATGGCCCTCAGTATGTAGGAAATGATTAAACTTACTCCTGAACCAATACAATTTATAAATGCAGGACGTTATAGTTAGACAAAACACAGAATGTACTAGTCAGCTCTTGTTTGGGTTGGCAATATAATTAAAGTGCAAATAAAGACAAAAAATCATACAATAAGCAGATCTATTTTCCATTGATATTTAGCATGTTTCTTTGATAAGAAACATCAGCTCAAATATGCTAAGTCATAGTCTCCCTGATAGGGTTTAGGGGAGGTAAATATTGTTAGCCCTGTTTTGTCGACTGGCTGATAGTCTTTGGAAAAGGAAGGACACTTTTCCAGCCTAGATATACAACAGTGCTAACATCTGCATTGTGTACTTAACTGTGTTCATTTTCCATGCAACTTTAGGAAGAAGTTCTTTATTAAGGAAACCACAGGAAGCATCATCCATACTTTTAATAGAAGGATATGATCTGGATCACACAATGATAGAAGCTTTTTAAAAGTGAAACATTTATGTCCACTAATTTTAGAGGCAAAAACTGAAGTATATTCTTCCCACTGAAATCAGTCTGACTTCAAAATGCTTCATTTTCTTTAAAAGGCAATACTGTGAGTGGAGAGGTGGATTATGTTGCCTTTCCATATTTTTGAAAAGGGGAAGAAATATATTTTAATTTTATATATGGGACTGATAATTTTTTTGTTATTGTTGTTCAGTCACACAGTCGAGTCCGGCTCTTTGCAACCCCATGGACCACATCACGCCAGGGCCTCCTGTCTTCCACCATCCTCCAGAGTTTGCTTAATTTCATCTTCGTTACTGCTTTATAAATAGTAATTCTCATTTTAAAATTAATATATCTGCTCTTTCTGTATTCAGAATTACTGCTGCCAGAGTGTGATTTATAGAGTGCCCTTCTCAACAAAGTTATAACAGCAAAATAGTAATTTCTACATGACTACAGTCTAAAATTCCACAACATTCGGGTTTGTGTGAACAACTCAGTTCAAGCATACACTCAGTCTCTTCACATGCATTTCAAGAGAATGGGCAAGTCCCATTTCATGCAGAGTTCCATTTGCACATCAGAGCCACAGAACCCATGCCAGGCTACGGGGTTACAGCACATGGTTGGATTTAGTTATTATATTTATGGCAACATATCAACACAGTAGATAAATATTTTCATTACAGTTTAGCACACTGATATGTGAGACTCCTAAATGCACAGAGAATTGGTGTAGTGGTTAAGTGTGCGGACTCTAATCTGGGAGAACCGGGTTTGATTCCCCACTCCTCCACTTGCACCTGGCTGGATGACCTTGGGCAAGCCATAGTTCTGACAAGAGCTGTCCTTGAAAAAGAGCAGTTTCTGTCAGAGCTCTCTCAGCCCCACCTACCTCACAGGGTGTCTGTTGTGGGGAGGGGAAGGGAAAGGAGTTTGTAAGCTGCTCTGAGACACCTTTGGGTAAGTGAAGCGTGGGGTATAAATCCAATCTCTTCTCTTCTTCTTCTTCTAATGTTCATGATATATATCAGTAATTTGTTAGTGTAATCCTGTTGACAAATGCTGGAGCTGCAATCTTACACATACAAGTCCCACTGACCTCAATGGAACTTATTCTGAGTATAAATACAAGGACTGCATTATAAATATCCAAACCTAGCTGCAAAGTACATGATTATCTAACAGGAATCGAACTAATTCATACTATTACCCTGGTCCACCTATTCCTTTTGGACACTGGCGCTATGGCGCACATATAGCACTATTCCCCATCTGCAAAGGGTTTGTTATTTGCTTTGGTAGAGGGGAAGCTCAGTGAACATTCCAGTATATTACTTGGAGCTGTCCTTCATAAAGTGAATCAAGGAAGCCCGCTCATGTGAGTGCCTAACAAAGCTGAAACCACATAGGTTCTGCATAGCATTGCCAACCTCCAGGTGGAGGTTAGAGATCTCCTGCTATTACAAGTGATCTCCAGGTGACAGAGACCAGTTCCCCTGGAGAAAAATGCCTACTTTGGAAGGTGGACTCTGTGGCATTATAACCAACTGATGTCCCTCTCCTCCTCAGGCTCCACCCCCAAAATCTCCAAATTTTGCATTGGGTTATATGATGGGAGTTGTAAGAAGAACTCTAGCACCTGCAAAAATAAAGTGTTAAGTATCTAGGCAACTCATCTATGGAAGGACCATTTTTTTTACTAATCAAGTCAAAGTTACTACACTTGAAGTGTAACACTAAACAACTTTGCACAGTGCAGTCCTAACACCCTTGACTTCAATAGATTTTGAAAAATATAAGGCAAGTTATTACACTTAAAGTACAACACTAAAGCACAGTTACACCATTCTAAGTCTACTGAAGTCAAGGGTGTTAGGAATGCACTGTTAGATTCCCAGCTAAGTTTTTATACCTGGAAACTGTGCAAGGTTGTTTAGAAATCTGCACCTCTGGTCTGCCTCACTATATTTCCAGAGAAGGAGAAGTATATTTACAGTACTAAATCGGCTTTTAATATGTAATACTTCTTTTCCCTCTATCAATTTTGGAGAAAAGAGAAATTAAACTAAATTAAAATGCATAGATTAAGCACCTAATGCATCTGATGAGATTGATAAATGTTATCCTTTTGTCACTACAGTTTAATATATTGTCCTTAAATGCCTATTGTTTGCAATGGATATAATGTAATGCAGATGGGACAAAGCCTTGGATGTTTGCATGCTCAATGTACATCTTTTTCACATGGCTATTTTCCATTTACTGAAGTATAATGGAACACAGTACTTACATTTCCTTTTGCTCCCCTCATTGCCTCAATCATTATGATTATTACCCAGCCAATTCTTCATTAGCTCCACTGTCCCTTTTAAATGAAATATCACCTGTGCAAAGCAACAATCATATAACCCATGTTTCTGGCATTTTGTCTTTCTCCTCCACCTGCTGCTTCTCCTTGTCTGAAAAGGAATCTCTGTGAGGCTCTGAGTCCCTTAATAGAAAAGGGAACTTGAATTCTTCTCAGCTTTCTCCCCTCGCATTCTGTAGGGGCATGCCATGCACAATGTTTCCATTACACTAAAGTTCTCCGTAGGCTGAAGGACAATGCTGATTTTTCAAGCAGGCAGTCTGGGTTCAATTGTTAGGGATAGCTCATACAATGTATCTTCATCTATGATGAGACTCTTGTCAAGTAAGTACTGAGTGACCTGAAAGTAGAAGAATAGGAAACAACTACTATATAATACAGAAATACCATTTTTAGATTTGAACTGCACTGCAAGCCTGGTAAATGAGACATTTTATTCCTTTAATATTAAAAAAAGTTTTACTCTAAAAAGACATGCCAGTAGATGTGTTCTCTGAAGATGTGAAAACTTGTATCAGAAAACGTCTAAAAGTAACTGCAACAGACAGGAGGCGGTCCTGCCCCTGAAGGGAAAAACAGCCACTCAGCTGTTTCATCCTTGAGCCTAAGAGAATGCTGCTCCAGCATCCAATCATCTTTTAGAATGGGGATGGAATGTTGGAGGGGAACATGGCAGGTAGGTTAGCTAATGGTACTGACTCACTCTGTGTAATCTGCCTTGAGTCCCAGTGAGAAAGCTGGACTACAAATAACATAACAAACAAACAAATAAATAAATAAATAAGGAAGGAAGGAGGGAAGGAAGGAAGGAAGTAGGAAAAGAGGTGGGATTAAAAGGGCTTTCAGGAAAAGGAAAGTAGAAACAGAGGGGGAGAGGAAACTAAGATGTCCACACAAATCCTTGAAGATTCCTTCCTTGTTATATCTAATTCTGAGATTTTGATTCTTAAACCCACAGATTAAAGTCACAGATAAAACAGAATTTCTACAAACCTGAAAAAGTCCCAAGTTTTCAGAAAAGTCTTAAATCTAAAAATAAATACATTGGGGGTCAACCCCTCCAATAGCAGAAGCAACACCTGTAGCTTTAAGAAATGAATGGCCTCTTATATTTCAGTAGCCATTGTGGAGGTTGCTAGGAAACCACAACATTAGAAACCTTCATGCCTTGATTTCTGTCAGTAAAAGGCAAGGTGGAGTGAGCAGGGCCCTTTCCGGGCCTGTTTTGGCCTCCCCTGCTCCCATCTTAGAAGTAGTACTCAACCACTGGGCAATTCGCTACCACAAAACTTGGACAAATCACCCACACTCAATGGCAACAACCACTTGGATATGTGCTATTATGCAACATCAAGCATTGCATCAATCACCTGGGTGATTCACTACCATGAAATTTGCACAACTCACCAAGGTCCGGGGTGGCTACTGGATGACTTGATGCTATGGAATTGCTTGGGCCCAGAGGCGGCCAATGCACAACTTCTACAACTGGGCTGAAGGTGGTGTGGCTACCACACAACTGACCCAACTGATTTGCTACTGTCAAGCATTTCCCAGGGGAGGAAAGAAGGAAAAGCTGAGAGCCAGTCTGGTATAGTGGTTAGACTAGGATCTGGGTGACCCAGGTTCAGATCCCCACGTTTTGTGACCTTGGACCAATCACTCTTTCTCAGCCTGATCTACTTCACAGAGTTGTTGTAAAGATAAAATGGAGGGGAGGAAAACCATGTAAGCTGCTTTGGGTCTCCACATCTGAGAAATGTGGGGTATAAATGAAGGAAATAAATAATAAATAAAGCTGTAGAGTTGGGGGCAGATAAAAACTAATCTTGTTTTATGCAAAGATGGGGGCTATTAAACCAGCAGGATTTTTTTTCTGGACGCTCTCATGCAGGAGCAGCCCACTTGCTGGAATACCCCAAAGAGCACTGATTTAAGGCCTTTTTGCCCTCAGCCTCTGGAAGCTACCACAAAACTTAGGCAAATCACCCTCAAATTTTCTGGATATTAACCTGAGGCTATAGAGTCCTCCTTACTACACAGAAGAAGAAGAGAAGAGAAGAGATTGGATTTATACCCCGCCCTTCACTACCCAAAGGTGTCTCAGAGCGGCTTACAGACTCCTTTCCCTTCCCCTCCCCACAACAGGTACCCTGTGAGGTAGGTGGGGCTGAGAGAGCTCTGAAAGAAACTGCTCTTTTTCAAGGACAGGTCTTATCAGAACTACGGCTTGCCCAAGGTCATCCAGCCAGGTGCAAGTGGAGGAGTGGGGAATCAAACCTGGTTCTCCCAGATTAGAGTCCGTGCACTTAACCACTACACCAAACAGCCTATCTATTTATTTATGTTATTATTTCAGTGTACGTCCTGCCCTTCCCGTAAATGGGCTCAGGGGAGCTCACAACAATAAATACAACAATCTAAATTAATACAGTAAATAATACAATAAAACCAGTTTAAAATTTAAAGTATTTAAAATATTTAAAGTGGGCAGTGCAATGCAATTAATTTAGTTACTACAGCTGGGAAAAAATATGTGGGCTGATGCCAAGCCATGACGGTCTCATGTAGCAGCAGTAGGGAGGCCTGCTGTTATATGCCCACTGCCTCAGCCAAAGGCCTGGCGAACAGCTCTGTTTTACAGGCCCTGAGAAACTGCGACACATCTCGCACCTCAATTGGGAGCATGTTCCACCAGGCTGGGGCCAGGACTGAAAAGGCCCTGGCCCAGGTTGAGGCTAGACGGGCATCTTTTGGGCCGGGGACAACCAGCAGATGGCTCTCTGCCGAGCGCAAGGCTCTCCGGGGCACATATGGGGAGAGGCAGTCCTGTAGATATGTCGGTTCAAGGCCGCATAATTCAAGCCACTGCTTAGCCTTTGTAGACCAGCCTGAGCCAGTACACTGTCCTCATAACTTAATCACTCTACCTAAATCATCCCATTGTCCACTTAGATGTGCACCCTCCAGCACCTCATACTTCCAAACTCATTAATAGGGCATCTTGAGACCATCCAGATTTATAGTTGGCTCTGAACTAAAGCCTTCTTACCCAACTTTGTGGTTGCCTTATTTCCTGAATTCTGCCCTCTTTGCTGAGTCACTGACCCCCTTAACTTGGATCCCCAACTTCATAGTAGGTTTCAGATTTTTCCTCCACCTTGAGAATTCTCTGACCCAAATCAACTTCTATTCCTTCTGGCCTGGACCTTACTGCAATAGACTCTTCTCTTCATTTTTAGGCAACATATTTTTGTCCTTTCACATTTATTCTCCTGTAGATTCCCATTCAATTCAATTATGTTACAACCAAGGGCAGCATTGCAATATTGTATTGCAATGTTGTTTGATATTTCCCCCCTTCTCCTTAGCATTTCATCTTTCTAGCCTTGTATCTTGTTAGGGGAATAAAGACTGTTTGATGTGAGATTCCTTCGCTGTGTCTTGTTTTTCCTTCTTAATTGGAGTGCAGTATCAGAACAGGACCTGGTTATACCTTAGAATGTATGGTCCCAAAATAATTGCCATGATGACATGGCCTGACCTTACAATTATAAAGGATGCATTAATATGATTAACGTTCAAGGGTTAATGTTCTAACAGAGTCTGAGAACCTTTGAGTGACAGGCTGTTCAAATGGAATTCTGTGAGGAGTGTCAGTTAAGAAATGATAGCTGGGAATTGACAGTTGAAGAAGAGACAGTTTAGCACTGACTGTGGACTGGGAAAGAGGCTAAAGGAGTGAGTGGATCACATTGGATCCCCGTGCAATCTGAAAAGGGACAGAGCGTCAAGTCAAGGAATGAGTAAGCTGTGAGCTTCCCTGAGGTGCAGGTCTCATGGCATGGGCGGAAGTAAATGTGGCTCTTTTGGTTGATGGTAATTGTGAATGTGGCTCTCCATGAGCCACCCTGAGCCTGCCTCAGTGGGAAGGGTGGGGTATAAATCAAATAAATAAATAAATAAATAAAAAATAAGCCACAGAGTGAATACCACTCTAAGTATTTATTTTGTGAACACAATCCACCCAAGCCAAAGGATATCATTATTACCTATATTGTTTAAATACCTTTGAGTTGCCAGCAAATGTAACAAGATGAAAACCCTAAGTTCCAGGCATAGTTAATTACAGTTGGGACCATCTTGGTACCACCTAATCAGCAGATACTGGATGAGTGTTCTTGTTATACCCCTCCTGAATTATTGCTCAGAGCCAGGTTTAACTTTGAACCATAAACTTCTTTTTTTCCTTATAGATGAGAAATGTGACGTTGCACTGATATACACCTACAAGCTCAACTGAGAAACTCAGTGTGAGTATCAAAATAGTGATGACAGAATACTGTACCTTTTGTTGATGTTCTATGCGATAGGATGTCTGCTGAAACTGGCGTACCTCCCTGATAATATGCGATATCTATTAATAAAACAGATATCAGTGAAGGTATCGTCTTTAATTTTATACACATTGACTTTACTAAAAATAAATGAACATGTTTATTCTTAATGTTTCCTTACATAGATGCTGTTCATGGCCTTGACTGGCATAACCTTTATGAATAACAATTCTGAATCATTCTTACTTAAGCCATATTGCAATGCAGACACACTTCCTATTTTACTTAAGTATCCACTGGACTTCACAAAAGCACCAATAAAAGTTGTTTATGTACTTCTTCCAAACCAAGCCTCTTATAAAAGTTTTGTACTCAGAATGCACGATAAACCTAAAGTTCATTTCCCCCCCTCGAAAGTAAACACGCTCCTCATATGGGACTACACTGGTTAGGGAAGTAGGGTACCAGGCTCTGTGTCTTTTTGATTATTCATTCCACATATCTCAGCTGGCTGTTCACCTTCAACTTTCTTCTGTGCGAATGGAAAACATGTACATGCAAATTGCAATACTCATACTCCAAACTCTGCCAGCAGGTGGTGATAGAACATAGTCCCTGGATACAAATTACATTTCTGTGCATGATGCACCCTGAAATGCTTCATAGATACAGTTATTATGGTTAATAACTAATCTTCGTCAATAAAAACCTACAAAGAAAGAAGAATTACCATTCGCATTTTGGAAAAATTGACAAGGCCTTCTTCAGTAAAGTTAGGTGTTCCTTCTTCAATAAATGCCAAGTCTGTCAAGTACATCCCAAGATATGGCACTGAGGGGGGATTACAACTACACAGACAAGAAATAGATTTTACTGCAACTTGGTAACTCTGGATTTTATATTGCATAACTCTAACTCTTTAAAATTATTTAGAAGACTTTAACTCATTAAGGCTGAGCTCATTCTAAATAAGCATAGCTGAGTTATAATCAGTTTTATAACATCCAGTTTCCAAATTTGGCATGTTTCTCTAACACAGAATACAGAAAGAACCGTGTAGCTAGAGGCTGCCACAAGGTGTAGAAGCAACAACGCATGATGGTATTGAAAAGACCAAATTTCTTGGCAATATGTACAAGATATATGAATTGTTTGATACTTTCCCACTATGTTGCCATGGTCAGGGCTCTTTTTGTAGTAGGAACTCCTTTGCATATTAGGCAACACACCCCTAATGTAGCCAATCCTCCAAGAGTTTACAGAGGTCCTCTTACAGGGGCTACTGTAAGCTCTTGGAGGATTGGCTACATTAGGGGTGTGTCGCCTAATATGCAAAGGAGTTCCTGCTACAACTCTTGACTAAATCAGCTGTGGACGTGGATAATTACATATTTAAAATATTTCTAATAATACAACAAACATAGCTGCAGTGTAATCTTCCTGTTATATCATTGGAGGTTCAACACAAAAACACCATCAATAAGAGGCTAGATGATAGCGCTTTTTAGTAGCGTGTTCCCCCAAACATCCACCTTAAAATGACAGTAAAGAGCCTCTCTGTTAAAATCATGCCAATATGAATCTGAATTGGAGGATACTGTAGAATTTTCCAATTAGATGGTTTTTAAAGATCAAGGAAACAATATCAGCTCTAACAGGAAACTTTGCATACAGAATAAAAGCTTAATATGTCCTAGCAATTTATGACAAAAATGTGTATATGACACTGACTTCAGAGTACATTTTTTAAAAAAGACTTAAACTCCATAAAGCCTGTATTTAAAATATAATCCCATAAAATTGAGACAGTTTTGTTTCCATTATAGCTGTTAACTGAAGACTTATCTTAATAACCGTCCAATATGCATAGCAATAGGAGACATACTTCTTGAGTGTTTCTCTGAGATTTTTAAATCTTCCCTCAGATGAAACAGTCTTCTGAAGCTTATCCATAAGAGCTTTACTCTACAAACAGAACAAATCAGAAAAGTCACTCCTAGAGAAATAGAACATGTCACAGTCCAGAAAGTGTCTCTCAGATATGAGTTCAGTTTCATATACGTATGTTATTTTCTAAATAATAGTGGGACTATCTGGGAGAACCAGGTTTGATTCTCCACTCTTCCATGTGCAGCTGCTAGTGTCACTTTGGGTCAGTCATAAATTCTTTCAGAGCTGTTTTCTCAAGGACAGTTCTCGGGAGAGCTCTCTCACCCCACCTACCTCACAGGGTGTCTGTTGTGGGTGGGGAAGGGGAAGGAATTGTAAGCCACTCTGAGATCACACAGGAGAGGATGCGGTATAAAAATGTAATGAATAAAAAAATTATAAAGTGCTTATTTGGGACCAGATTCAAGTATGATGCAAGTTATGGACAAAACACTTGCCCATGCAAGCATTATTTACTATACTAAGAATAAGGCCCATTGTGGAAATAAATACAATGAGATCTAGAAAGAGGCTCTGGGAGAGTGCCCCGGCTTTGGGCACACAGTGTAAATTTGCTGTGGCGACCTCAGCAGGGTATAATGACAGAGTCCACCGTTTTCTCCAGAGGAACTGATCTCTGCTACTTGAAGAGCAGCTGTAATTTTGAGTGATCTCCAGCCCTCACCTGGAGATTGGCAACAATTGTTCCTCAGGATGAAATGGCTGGTTTGGAGGGTGGAGTCTATGGCATTCTACCTGTCTGAGGTCCAATGCCTCCTCAAACCCCACCCTCTCCAGGCTCCACCCCTCAATTTATTTATATTTATTTATTTAATTTATTTCTTTGCATTTGTATCCCGCCCTCCCCGAAGGCTCATGGTGGCTGATTCCCCAGGAATTTGCCAATCTGGAGTTGGCAACTCCATTTCCTTCCCAGCTAACCATCAACCTACCGTTATCTGCCCCTCTGACTTCAGCTTTCCATCTCCTCCCCCCTCCCTCCTGGAGAGCAGTTGTAATTCTGATTGATCTCCACCCCCCATCTGGAGATTGGCAACAATGGTTCCCCAGGATGGAATGGCTGGTTTGATGGGTGGAATCTATGACATTGTACCTGTCTGAGGTCCCACTCCTCCTAAAACCTCACCCTCTTCAGGTTCCATCCCTCAAATCTCCAGGAATTTCCCATCTGGAGTTGGCAGCCCTATAAGGACTGGCCCCAATGAGTTTTTTCCAATGGCCAAAATAGGTGACAGGACCAAACTTAGTTGCCTACCAACACGCACTGAAGGGAAAGTAGGGTTGCCAGCTTTAAGTAGGGAAATACCTGGAGATTTGGGGGGTGGATCCTGTGGAGGGCAGCATTGGGGGGGTGGAAGGACTCAGCAGGGTATAATGCCATAGGGTCTACCCTCCAAATCTCCAGGAATTTCCATACCTAAAGCTGGCAACTTTATCTCCTCCCCTCTCAGCAGCCTCTTTCTAGGCAAAATTCTGTCTTTCTCATTAGCGGGGAGTAAAGCAGCTTACTTCATTCTCTTTGGCTTTGTGATCTGTACAGCAATGCTGTAAGGTAGGTTAGGCAGAAAGTCTGTGGCTGGTCTGAAATCACCCAGGCAGCTTCCATAGGGATGCTCCTACTGAACAGGAGCAAGCAGCCAGGGTTAGTGACGCCATGCCAGCCAGGAGGCATGAAGTCAGAGTGCTGACAGGCCTAGGGTTGCCATTGCCAACAAAGACAAATTGATGCAAAGGAGGATGGAAAAGTCTCCATATCTCTATTTTGCCAGAGGCTCTGGGTGGGTGCCCCATGGTAAATGCACCAAACAATTCCTAAAGATTTTCCAAAACACTACTCTGTCAATAAATCATTTTCTACACTCACAGCGTCCCCTGCCAGAACTCAACTCATCCCCAGCACTTTGAATTAGTACCAGAGCTTTTTTTGCCTTGTGGTATTCTGCTTGTGGTGTCTTTTTTGTGGTGTGGCATGGTTGTGTTATTGGGTTTGTTTCTTTTGAAGGGGAAGTGAGGACATATTTTACCTCAGAATACACCAGGTCGCATAAGCAACTGACAGTTCCAGCTGTCTTGCGGGGGGGTGGGTGTTGAGGTGCGGAATGGAGTGACGTCCAATCAGCTTCCGTATGCAAATGACCTTGAAATGCCGGCCCAATCAGAGAAGAGTGCCCTAGGCTACAGTGGGTGGGAGAGAACTCAAGCAACACAGCTAGTAGATAGGGACAGCTTCTGAGTGACATATCAGGGAGCCAACTGATTTTGCCGGGCATAGAACTTTGCCACCCCAACTGGCCTTTATATATTTATAGAGAGATGTTGCAATCCACACATTCAGAGTGAAAGCATGCTGGTTTTCCCTGGCTTGAAAATAAGCACTGCTGATATGCTAATGCCGCACACCAGTTCAAGTGCAACAATTAGTAGGCTGTCATATGTAAGATCATGTACATGACCCAACAGCTTCATGGGTCACTTACATGGATAACTTTGCTGCACGTAGTAAGCATCACACTTACACGGAATCTGGCTGCAGTGAACATGCCGACCATACATACTTTATGGTTTAATGAAAAAGGTTTACTTATTTATTTGTCTGTTCCCCTGTAGCAGAAAAATAAGTGAGAAGGGCAGTTCTGTACAGCAGCCTGAATTGACTTCGGCCTCTCTGTTTGGTTCTCTCCCATAAGGCTTTGCTCTTCAGCCTGACAATGCACCCTGCGCCCTGCTCTAAAAGAACTGTTTACATTTCTGAGTTTCAACCTCGAAGCCAAAATATCTAGATATGAGGACCTATGGCTCCAAGCTCCTGCCTTGACAGGGAGGATGTTTTTAACCTAGTAATACAATTACTCCGGTCAGAGTCTTCTGGTCAGAAAAGGGAGGTTTCATCAGGACCATCTGATTTCTTGATTAACAGCTACATCTGGATTCTAAAGGTATTTAACACCAGTGTTTGAGATACTAAGGGCCCTCTGCCAACACTGTGGTTTGGTCTTGCCAGAGCAGCCAGAATGCATTCCTAAATAGATAATAATTCCTAAATGAATAATAAGTACACTATTCGTTTATAAGTATTGGTTTGTCTGAATACTGAAATTGCTACTTGCTTGGATACTTTGCATTAGGGGTTTAAATTTTCAATAAATGGTTTAACTTTGGAACAGGGTTTTTCTCTGTCTCTCTCAAACTATGGAGTTCCTGCCAGTTTCACCACCACCCCATCAAGCTGGGTGGGGATGGGAATCCTAAGAAAAGCTACTGGACTCTTAACTAGGGTTGCCAGCCTCCAGATGGGGCCTGGAGATCTCCCGCTTTTACAACTGATCTCCAGCTGACAGAGATCAGCTCCCCTGGAGAAAATGGCTGCTCTGAAGGGCAGACTCTATGGCATTCCAATCCAATCCAATTACCTTTATTGGTATGTAACTCTATGGCATTATACCATGCTGAGGCCCCTCCCCTCCCCGAACCCCACCCTCTCCTGAATCCACCCCCAAAGTCTCCAGGTATTTTCCAACCCAGACCTGGCAACCCTACTCTTAATTCCCCCAACACCACTTTATCCAAAGTTCAAAGCAGCTTCCAGACAAAAGACTTGAAAATCTAGGTTCAGAAACCATACAGTTAATTAAATTGCTTCTTACTTCATGGCATTAGAGATTTTAAAAATATGTAGCTTTGTTGTTTCTTTTAAAAAAGATTTATTCATTTTACCACTGGTTTCACTGGGAATCTTATTCCAATAGGGAAGCATATAATTTAAGACCGTCATCTCTTTCTTTTCTATCCAGTTGGGACAAGACTTTCAGAGACAGTATTGTTTGCCCAAGAGGTTCTTCCCTGCCAAATCTTAACTAGCTAAGAAAGCAGGTTTATATATAATTTTTTTTGTCTGCAGAATGGACCTAGGCCCACTAAGGAGCAAGTTGTGGGGGGGAGAAAACATTTAGTATCCCAAGAAAGCTGAGTGTAAGGCATCTATTCTGACAGACCCATGAAGGGGCTTTTGATGCTCTTAACATGTCTCTGATGCATCAGAGAGATCTCCAAGGAGAATATTGCTACAGAGCAGAAAAAAGCACAGGAAGAGTTGTACAGCAGGCAGAGGGAGACTTTTGTGAAACAGAGGTGCTGTGCACACTGTGAGTTCTCGCAATATTGGAAAAGTTGTAGAGAGAATTGGCATGTAGCTCTGACAGTCAGGATGGGTAGCTGGCAGAACAAAACCATAACAGCAGCACAATTACTTGGGAATGGTAGGCAGAAGATTAGGCATGGCCAACTGCTGAGATGGCAGATAAAAGGAGAGGTGGTGGTGCAACAGAAAAGAGTCTGGAGCAGTCCTAAGCATTAAAAAAAAACCTTTCTACACCATTACAGATGTATCACTAGACATCAGAGGAGATTCAAGGAGATGGCACTCCTGGCCTTTCTTCCTGAGGCCAGTTTGTTCATATACCCTATGCACCATACCCTTCTTTTTGGCATATGCTCAGTTGTTCTTTCTTTCTTTCTCATCCTTTCTAACTGAGATTCTGCTGGAAAGCTGCAAGTAGTTTGAAGTAGAGGAGCAGTGTTCAGTGTGTCTTTTTTAATGACACAAAAAGATGGAAGTCAGGTGCAAAAAGAAAGAAGTTGAGAGCTAGACAGAACATACATATTAATCTCATTCTGCAGAGGCTCCATTGGCTGCCCATTGGTTATTGTGCTCAGTTTATAGTATTGACTATCACATACAAAGCCCTTGATGCCACTGGCTCCTCTCATTTGTGGGACCACTTCTCTCCCTATGCTCCACCATGTCAGCTTCGCTCATGTCAGCAGGGGCTTCCGCAGGTGCCAACCTGCAAATGGGCACAATCAACAACTTGCCATACACATTCTATTGTGGCTTCTGCCTTGTGAATTGGCCTGCCTGAGGAGGTCAGGAAAGCTCCCACTCTCCTGGCCTTCCACAAACTGTGCAAAATTGAACTACTGAAGAGGGTTTTTCTGCAGATGTAATTGTTGTTGTTGTTCAGTTGCACAGTTGTGTCCGACTCTTCGCGACCCCATGGACCACACCACGCCAGGCCCTTCTGTCCTCCGGAGTTTGCTCAATTTCATGTTCATTGCATTGCTAACATTGTCTAATCATCTCATCTTTTGTCGTCCCCTTCTTCTTTTACCTTTAATCTCCCCTAGCATCAGGGTCTTCTCCAGTGAGTGCTCCCTTCTCATTTGGCACATGTAATAGGACTGCACTATACAAAATGGTTCACAAACTTACTTAGATAACATGATTGGGATCATGATCTATACTGCTGCGTAAAGCTTATTGTAAGTAGGATCCTAATATGTAATTTTTGTGCTGTTTAATGTGTCATGTTATGCTATACTTCAGTTCTTTCTAGTGGTTCCATCTGACTTCTTATTGCATTATTGAATGTCCCATTTTGTTGATTGTACTGTTTAAGGTGTAATCCACTTTGAGTCCCTGTGAGAAACGGGGACTATAAATAACATCTCTCCTTATATATAATTGTATTTTCGTGTTACACTTCTCCAGAACATTCCACACGCTCCCAAATCAGTTGGCTTCCTGAAGTGTCAGTTACAAGGTATCTCTATCCATTGGTGGCCGCATTCCCTTAGTCCCACCCACAGAACCAGCGGCCAGCATCTGGGCCTCATTGTGCTGGGAAGCGACGGATGGGCCAGACACTCCAGAGAGCGGAGGGTCCTGAGGCTGAGCCCAGTCATGGCGGCAGTGCAGCGGTTGAGGGGGAGCCCCAATGGCCAGGAGAACCAGCGGCCAGCATCTGGGCCTCATTGCGCTGGGAAGCGACGGATGGGCCGGACACTCCAGAGAGTGGAGGGTCCTGAGGCTGAGCCCAATCATGGCGGCAGTGCAGCAGTTGAGGGGGAGCCCCAATGGCCAGGATGGGAGGAGAGGAAGTGGCTGCTGAGCCCCCGGTCACAGCCCCCCATCAACCAGGGCCGCATCCTGTATCTGGCCTGAGAAACAGCGGTGGCAGAGGCAAGAACATGGGGAGGGGTTATCCAAACAGTGCTACTAATGGCAGTGGTGGTGGAGGCATCTTCCCTGGTTGGGTCATGCAGCAGCGTTAATGGAGGAGGGAGCCACAGGCACTCCCCGCCACTGGCCCTGCAAGCTGCAGCAGGGTGGGAGGCTGGGAAGGTGGATGCAAGCTGGCACACGAAGCAGCTCCTGCCAAAGAAGGAGGAAGGTGCCGCTGTTGCCTTTAAGCCAGCTTCTTTCCTGTTATCTTTCTCAACCCCACGCCTCAGCCAATCAGGGTCAGCTAGGCTTTTTGTATACAACAGAGGAAGAGCTGCACTGCACTGCGCTGACACAGGCAGTCCACTCTAGACCTTGCTCCTCAATTGCTGGCCAGCCCCACTGCCCGCCCGATGGCCAAGCTCTGCAACCATCCTGCCCCAATCCCCTCCCCCTCCTGGCCATCAGCATAGTTATGCATGATTCATGTACTGCACACATTTATGCCCTCCCTCACACTCCAGCCTGCCTTGCCGCCCTGCCTGCCTGGCTGTCGCTGCTCTGGATGCTTGCAGCCTTCCCGGGGGGTGGGTGGGCTTGGCCTGAAATGAAAATAACAGGAAGGAAGGGAGCAGCAGTACCCCAAACCAGCTCATAGAAAGAGGGTGGGAAAACCACAAAAGGAGGGGGGGGGGTGGGGGGGGCATTGTATGTGACAAGGATGAACTGTTTTCCCTGTGACAGAGAGTAGCCGATGAGACTGGCCCAACAAAAGTTGTTAGTTGCACTTTAAACAGTGTTGGTCTCAACAAAACCAAGTGTCTGCTGGAGCGTTAAAGACTTCTCAGGTGTGCTGTGCCATCTCTCCTTATATATAATTGTGCCCTCGACCTCAATGAAGCTATTCTGAGCAGGCACTTGGCAAGCAAAGGTAGGGGGAGCAAGCAAACCATTGAAAGCATGATATTTTCAATAACACAAAGAGATAAAAATCTGAGACAGGAAAATGGTGCTCCCTTTGGAATGTGTCACTAATGCTTCATGTCGCTTCACTGCAAGGCTGGTCCTGTCCTTGATTTTCTAGTGATGCATTTAAAAGCATTTTGAGCTATAACAAGCCAGCAAATTACTACCTTTGCTAATAAAAAGCCCTCAACATATGGATGTAATGGATGAACACACATAGATTACTGACCTGTTTAGAAATCTTAGCCCATGTTTTCTTCAGTCTGTAGATTGCACTTCTATTCAAGGCTGATGTGATTTCAAGCACACCGTTGTAGTTATGCAAACATCGGCAGATGTCAGCCACTGCTACCCATTTCTCAATTGCATTAGCACGTGAGGTAACATCCGCGTAATTCATAATTTGGGAGGCCACAAGGTTGCTCATCTGCATGAAAGAAATAATCCTTAAGATACTTGCATTTAAAATATGCAAAGAATACTATTTTGTAAACACAGAATTAAACCATATATACAACAGAACTTGGATCTTTTTCAAGTAAGGCTAGGAAAACATACACTGCAAAAAGGGCTAGACAGAATAGGGCCAAAGCAAGCAAAGAATAACACATTCATAATAATATTCATAGGATAATATGTTGATAGCATCAGAAATATTGATGCTGACTATGGCTCCTGGTTGCATATTAAGGGTAATGACTAAATATGAGTGACAGTCACCTCAGACCCCGGATCAGACAAAAGAACTACTTGCTAAGTTGGCAAATAGTCCTGGTTATCCTGATCCTGATTCCAAGCACTTGGAATCCCAAGGGATTTTGTGTACCTCAAACCTCGACCTTAACTTGACTTGCTATGGCATGCAGCAACGACAACAGTTGGTAGGCTGAACAGATGACTGCGTGCAGGGAAGATTCTTCCTGCTCCCTTCTTCCCTCTAGTTCACTTTGAGAAAAGTAGTTCCGACGGTGCTTGCTTGACATTAGATTGGTACTACATGTCCCAGAATGCACCAGTCACCACAGGATTGAAGAGAAAAGGAAGGCTGGAGCAGGAAAAAAAACCCCAACTCTCACCAGGTATGCCATGCTGCCTCCTTCTGCAACAGGAGCAGAAGATAAATTGGAGAATGGAAGGAGCACAGGAGGAAAGAAGCTTGGATGTACCATCTGAGCTAGAGAAGGATCTTCTCTCTATGAAGATGAGGGTTAAAGGCTGCTGAAGTTTGTATGAGCCCAAGAAATATGAACTTGCGTGGCATCTCTAGTAATAAACTAGGGCAAGAGATCTAAAAGACAATCATTAAATCAGACAATGTTTAACAGAATTTGTGTTATTTTAGTTACTTCTTACTAAAAAAAAAAGGTTTCTTCTGCCAGCGCTTGCAAATTTTAGCAAAATTTCACATATTTCATATTTCTAAACTGCTACAAAATTGTCAGCAAGTACTTCAGTAAAATGTAATGTTCTGGTTGGGTTTACAGTTAATTATGAAGAAATCAAGACATTTATAATTCTGTGTTCTTGTATTCCTAAAAAAATGCTTTCCATTTTACGACCACTTAGAAGACCACTTACATCGTTAAAGTGTTGGCTAGTTTTCATAATATAAGGTGTCCTTTCATTTTTATCCAGTTTCATCCAGCCCTGCCCAAGAAACTCTCTGGAAAAATGAGGAAGAGATCAAAAGAAAATAAAACAGGCTTTCAAAAGGTGCAGTTTTAGAATGGCAACTGATAAATCAGCTGTAATTCAAGTTAACACTCTCGCCCAGTGAACACAGGATAGCACTGGAAATGATCATTTGCAAGGTGCTCCTGCATTGTGTTCATTTAAATTAACAACTGCAACATATATCACTACAACTTGTTAAGATTTAACCCCTCCCCACACATACACATATGACAGCAACACCATTGAGTTATGCTAATGAGTTCCCATAGCTCTTTTTCTATGAAACTATCCCTGCATGCCCAAAATATAATCAATATACAATGACAACATTAGCCCATAGCATCAGTGGCTCTTAAAATTCCACCATCTGTCTGAACACCTTGCCCCAAAAGAGGATTTAATGAGCAAACAATGGTTAGAAAACTAATTAGGGTCCAGGGAAATTTCTTTAAGAATGATCTCACAACTACTCCCTTCAAGGCTATTCCTTGTCTTTTCAAGACATTCACTGATCCAATAGCTGATCCCCTTTGGCTAGATGTTGTCAATCAAAATGAGTTGATCAAACTGGTAGTAACTCAAAAAAGAGAGGGGGGAAATCTAAACCAACTAAGCACAAACCTCCAAAGGAAGTTTAGAAAACTTATTGAGGGCCAAAAGTTAAAAACATAAGTAAGTATACAAAAGAGTGTTTATTTCAAAGACATATAAAAACCTTGTAGGGGCCCAAATAAAGCCTGACAAAATGTTCAAAGCTACAAATACACAAAAAGGACAGTGTATGACTTGACACATTTTGGCTCACAAGAGCCTTCTTCAGAGGTCAAATAGTACAAAATACACCAAGCAAAAGAGTCCCTGTAATACATGTAAGGCAATAAACAATAAATAAAATAGGACCAAAATTGGAATGTTCCAATATGGAATTGAATGACAAACCAAAAGGTTTCTATTTGGGGCCACAAATATATCTGACCTCGTGTCAGAAGTAGTTATATATAGTGGAAATAATATGTACCTTCCAGTTTAGGTCCTAAGAGTGCAAATAAAATTGCCTTTTCAGGGACAATGTGCCATCAATACGAATTGACAGGAACCATGCTGTTCCCCATGATACAGCCAGCCTTCTTTTACAATGTTATGATGTTATAGCCTTACTGCATATGCAAAAAAGGAGGTTCTGTCATCAACGAAGTACTTCATGACACATTTAGTATGCTTCATAATTATCGAATAACACTGTTGGTGTATCCAAGTCCATGATCGCCAGCCATTTTCTTAGCGGGCGACTAAGGAGGACTGGGAGACCTTTGAAAAGGCGGCAACCATGCTCTTCCCCATAATACATCCAGCTTTTTTAAAAAATAATGTTATGATGTTATAACATTACTGCATGTGCAAAAAAGGAGGTTCCATTGCTGATAAAGTACATGATGACACACTTAGTGTGCTTCATAATTACTGAATAATACTGTTATGAATTGGTGTATCCAGTTCGACAATTGGCAGTCATTTTCTTAGTTGATGACTAAGGAAGAGTACCTCTTGAAATGGCAGCAACCACACTATTCCCCACAATATACCCAGCCTTTTTTTTACAATGTCATGATATTATAACGTTACTGCACATGTGTGGGGGGAGGTTCCATTGCTAAGTACATGACAATAACAGCCACACAATCCCCTTTTCAGAGGAAGTGAGGAACACATGGGGAGGGTTGGATCCGAATTGAAGAAAAATTTTCCCCGAAATAAATGCCCTTTTGCAGAAGGGGTGCTGCAAAGTCAGAGCATCAGCTAGGGATTCAACTTGTTTAGAAACAGTGGTGACACTGAGGTGTGGGGAAAGTCTAGGAGCAACTGTATTTATGATGACCATTTCTATATTCCAGAAATTGATCTGGGTACCATCAATGCCAAGTCAGCTGGAAATTCTCACATATCCTTCTTGAAGTCCATCATTCTGAGAATGGATCAACTGTAATAGTTCCCCTGCCCAGAGAAGTTAAAAGTAATTTCTGACAGTGCTGATGTTTCCCCCACTGCCATGTCACCATCCACCCATCAGCTCCAGAAGACCAATTCCAGAATGTGAATCATATTTCGCATGACAATCATGATTTTTCTGAGATAGACCTATGGTTTCTTGGTGTTAATGAACTCCTGAGCCACATCCAGTGTACCAAAGTCCAGTGGTACCTTAAAGCGGCCTGGGGGCTAGATCAGGCCTCTGGAGGGCTTCTATCAGGCCCTCAGTGGAACTGGCTGTCTTCTGCTTCTTCTTCCAGTTCTGCTGCTGCTGCATCATCATAGGTTTGCAGCTTACAGATACACACCTGAACAGCATACTCAAGATTGCAACAGCACAGACATTTTGATGCAATAATCCAGAGCAAGAGGTGTCAGTTATCAGACACTGTTAAATAAACAAAATATTGCAAGAGTGCAAATGTTTTAAGCATGATTTCATTTTAAGCAAAAAAATCCCTTTGTGTTTGTGTCCTTTATAAAGTTTATATCTCCGCTACCTGACATTACATTTTATGACACACATGGCCCGGCCCAACAAGGTCTCATTTATGTGAGATCCGGCCCTCATAACAAATGAGTTCGACACCCCTGCCTTAAAGACTAACAACATTTATTTCAGCATGAGCTTTTATGTCAGAACTCATGTCCTCGTGCTTATGAAAGTGTAAGAAGAAGCAGAGAGCATGCCTTGCTGGGACTATCTCTGACCAGTGAAATTTCAAATTTTTTACTACTGCCTGAATCCTAGTTAAATTGTTGAAGCGATTCTGATTTTGTTTCAGAGACTCCAGCTGCAAGCTGTCAAACTGCAATTCCATTTGTGGCCTACTGGTTGGAGTGGAGAGTAAACCCTATATGTGAAAAAGAATGAGTGGGATACAGTTGCAAGGGTGAACACCTGATCACAGTCTAACAACATGAGGCCTGGACTGGCCAAGTAAATCCCTTATTCCCCATGGTAAAAACAAAGGCCTCTGGGGGTTGTTTGCACCTGAGAAAGTGAACCCCAAAACTCAAAAGCTCATGTTGGAATAAACCTAGTTAGTTTTAAAGGTGCCACTGGACTTTTATTTTGCTACAATAGCCTATCATAGCTGTCTCTCTGGAAACATCCAGTTAAGACAACTTTGGCATTGATACTGAAGGGCTTCAAAGCCCCAAATCTGAGAGCTCAAGTAGGGAGCTCATGCACAAAGGCAATTAGGTTATCAGGGAGTACAGTAAATCAACAGAACCAATAATCTGTTGCAATCTCCCCAGACCAGATAGGAAGAATCTGAATTTTGCCAAATAGGAAGATAGTATTCGATCATATCAATTTCACCTTTCTACCCAACTGATAAAAACCTGTTCAAGAAATGACTGCATGCTGTTCACAAAGTACTGAAATACAGAAATCATGCTACGATTCAGGACTTTGCTGTCACTGCTTCATTACCTGTGTAACTACAATAAATCTTAAGCAAGACCAAAGACAGTTTTATCATACATTTCTCTTTTAGACCTGTGGCTCTTGTAAATTATTACAGCAACAAAAACTCCATTTACAAAATATTTTCATCTTGATAACAGGAAAAACACTTACTCGTAGGGTATGCTTCTGAAAACAATGTGATCCAAGAGTGTTATTTGCTCAGCAAGCTCCATGGCTGATAAAGTTTCAAAGCACTCTGGTTTTGGACTTTCTAACTGCAAGCAAAAAAGCAAATCATCAACAAAAAACACAGTAGTTTCATCTCTTCCTCATCTGATTTGGTTTGCTTTTGTATCACATTAAGTTGTGACTGCCACATTAATCTTACTGCAATATTCCTAGATTATGGAAGACATGAGTAAGAGGAAAATACTACTGAGAACAAACTTATGAAACTGCCTTACATTGTGTCAGACCATTTGTCTATCAAGGTGAGTACTATATACTTTAACTGGTGGTGACTCTCCAAGGTCTCAGGGTCCCTAGGATCTCCTTTTAACTGCAGGTGCCAAAGATGGAAACTGGGACTGGCTGCATAGAAAGCAGATGCTGTACCACTAAGCCAAAGCCCTGTCATAATGTGGACTGGTCAATGTAGACAAAGTTAAGAATTTTTAGGTCAACTGGCTTTCAGTTCTCCAGTCAAAACTGGTCAAATACCAAAAAATGATCAAGGTATTAACTTCCTTACAAACAAAAATAACACTCCAGTCACCACCAGATTTTATACTTATCCTTACTACAAAAACAATTAAATAATCTGTTATACAGAAACCAGATTGGTGGTTCTACACAGTGTGACTGACCATGTTCTTGTTTGGAAATGCCAGCAGTTATAGCAGTGGCTGTCAAAAGAAGCTTTGCTATGTTACTAGGTTTGGTTCTGACTGCTGCAGAGTTGGGGGTCTAGCAGCCATAGCCAGTTCTTCACTCAAGCCCATCAAGCAGCTATATGCACAGTACAACAAGGAGAGCAACAATGCTCCTAGTTGGCAGCAGCATAGGAGGAGGCAACAGTCATGGGCTATACCCATTGTCAACTCCCAGACAAGTCCTGCCATTAACCAGATACAAGTCAAGCTCTTGAGTTTTCCTTAAGCACGGTATGGGCTTAGTTTGTCCCTGGATGCTGCAGGAAGAAGCTACAGGAGTACCCTACGTCTGTTGTCACCTCCTGGACCTAGGTCCAAGCTGAGCTCCCGTGCCACTGCCACGGCTACTGTGTCTTGGCTGAACTGAAAGAATGAGAGAAGGCATACATGCCTTGCCCATGGTGATAAAATCCCTTGAATCGGCCCTGCAACCAGCTTCCCACTCTTGCCCCTGACAACAAGTGATACCATAATGGCAGAAAAGGGTAAACTACTAAGTACACAATGGCTTTCTCGTAACAGAAAATAGTTAAGAATATTTATTTATTTAATTTATACCCCCCACCCCGCCCATGGTCAAATAATAGTCAGTCAACTGATTAATAATACAGACCATTCCACTGGCTGATGTGCCAACCTCTATCTATTAGTATTTTGATACATTTGAAAATACACATACATATATACACACACTCATATTACACAAATTCCAAAAATCTCATTTGTGATATTAAAATTAGACCTCAAAATTTCATAAGAGAAATTCCTTTTCCTCTCAAACATCCCACCTTAAAAGCACTTTGTTTGTATGTTAGCTTAGGGATCTGAAGTACTCTGTTTATATGGCTTTCTCAAATAAAAATATGTTAGATCCTGGATATTTCACTTCCTTTCTCTAGACTTCAGTTTTCCATTAGCAAAATGGAATTAATATATTTTTGAGATGTGAAACGTAGAGGCTATACAAATAAACCATTTGTAGACTCCTTAGAGTGCCTAGTATAATGTTACAGCTAAATTAAGATTAAAAATGAAAGGCTTTAATAATTATATGGAAACTGACAAAAAATAACAGTAGCACCCATGTCTACTTCCTGGATGCAGCACCCCCAAGCATTCATGCAAAATTTGGGAAGATACCTCTAGTATCCATGTGTCAGGGATTTTAAACACTAAATAAACTGGGTACTATCACAGAATAATCAAGTTTTATACCTTGATTTGTAAATGGCTGTAATTGCAAGCTATATATGCTTTCCCCTCATGAAGACCACTTATTCTTCAAATTTCATTTTATTTGATGACTTCCCCATGTAAAATCGTCTTTCTGTGGTTTAAGGCACACTGAGCTTGTTTTGGACATATCTTTGTTTATGCTTTTGCTTGCAAGCTTCTAATATCTTGCATAATAAAATACTCAGGGTGGTCCAATACTGCAGTCAAAATGCATTCACAAATGGGAATTCTCTGAATGAGCTCCATATATGCAGCAAGAAACCCCACATTTTACAAAGCTACCAACCAACCAAGTCTGGCACCACATACATTCCTTCATCTGTGTTCAACAGTTGCTGGAACATGGGTTGTTCCTGTGTTCAAGTCCCAATACAAAAAGGAACAGTAATTTATTATAAAGGCTGCTGCAAGGATAAAGCTATAAGTCATTTTTGTGATTTGTGCCTGTCATTTACAATTATACTTATCCAGATGAACTCACCATCTGCAATATATCCTCCATTTTTAAGTGAGGGTCATCTTGATCCTCTTGAGAAAATGCCCTAAAAAAGTTAAGAAAATATTTCACATACAGATTATGTACCTATTGGCAGCCAGGAGAACACTTGAAGTCGCTCTGTAAGAATTCTGAGGAAAAAAAACTGTTAAGTTTTATAATCGCTGCCTATGAGGTCTGTCCTGAACTGGCATAGCCCAGGCTAGCCCGATCTCATCAGATCTCAGAAGTTAAGCAGGGTTGATCTTGGCTAGTATTTGGATGGGAGACCTCCATGGAATACCAGAGTCATGATGCAGAGGCAGGCAATGGCAAATCACCTCTGAACGTCTCTTGCCTTGACAACCCTACAGGGCTGCCATAAATCAGCTGTGATTTTATGGCATTTTCCACCACCATGAGGTTATTAAAATGATTTATTAGTACTAATACATTTTTCCAAATGATTGCGTATTGCATATGGTGCAGTATAAACTATGAAAAGAAAAAGTTTTACTTTGACAGCCTTGAAGACTGACTAATTAGACTGTTAACCAGTGAGACAGCCAGCAAGTCCATTATATAAAGCTACTGATCAAATCCTTTCCCCCAACCATTTAAAGTGAACCTTCCCTTTAAATGGCTGTGGAAAATGTGGGCAACACACACGCCTGCCCTGCAAACTGCAAATTTGCCACTTGAAAAGAAAGGGTGCCCTGTGTGCCTGCCCTGCAAACCGTGAAATCGCCACTTGCAGGGCAGGAGTGGGTGGCCCCACTTGAAAAGAGCTGTGCACACCAGCCCCGCAAGCCGTGAAATCGTCACTTGCAGGGCAGGTGCGCACGGTATCAGCTCTTTCAAGCAGGGGCATGGATGACTGTTGGGGGCAGGGCTTCCCCCACTAGCCAGCGGGCCGGTATCTGAGAGGAGCCCCAGAAATCGGGGGATCGCCCTGCCCCCACTTGGGGGCTGGCATCCCTACTGGCATAGGAAAGTCTATTTCATACTTTTTGTTTTTCATCCAAGTATGTTCAAGGCAACTCACAATATATATATATTTAAATACAGCTGCAGCTATAAAGCCATACTAACAATGCCCATCAAATTACAATAACACTTTAATAGACCAACAGCAAAATGAAAACAAACAAAAAAAATCAGCAGAATTCAAGAGAATGTACAGAAAGTATTTATCTGATGTCTGAAAAACAAATGTGCATTCACTAGGCAGAGATCCCCGGTAGGCAATTTAAAGGAAGGGTGCTAACACTGAAAAAGGCTCAAAAGTGTGTACACAATATGCATTTAGGGTGCAGGGGACTGAACCACCAATAAATGCATCTGAATGCAGGTGCATAAGATATCTGCAGCTATTTGGATGAACACCAGTGAAGATGCCAAGAGGCAAGATGCTCTCCTATAAGTGCTTTTGATTATCTGTACAGCACTATCTCCAGCAGATGCCTTGCCTAATTTTTGAAGACAGAAGTATCAAGAGCAGAATTTCTAAAAGGTGGCCTAAGAGAACACACAAGATTTAAACAGGCTTTCAGAGAGGCCAATGTGGAAAGAAATATACTGGAACTCAGCACAGAGGAAGTGCTTGTTAGATTCTACAGCCTCACACAAGGATTGGTTGCTGCTACTTGCTTGGTGTGAGAAATTGTTTGGAATTACAGTGTAATCCTATGCAGAATAAAACTATTCTAAACCCATTGGTTTAGGATGGGGCTGTTGGTGATTTCAGGCCTCTTTGCCTGTCTTTAGTCATTTACAGCATAATCCTGAGAGGGGGACTTGAAAGTGCTCAGGTCATGGCTTGGGGGGTGGCAGCAGTTAGTTGGCTCCCTAAGCCATCCCAGTCCTTAAGGTCCCGCAACAAGAGTACATAGTTATGCTTGCAGAAACTGTGGCATAGGACACAGGCATCCATTAAGCCCAGGAAAAGCAACCTCCCATCAGCTGCCATACCCCTTGTGTCCTGAGGACCACAGGATGCCAGTGGGCACCACAGGCCACACCCATCAGCTCCCAGCTAAGCCCCCACCACCCCTGCCACAGCCAATGCTGTGGCACCACCAATGGGCACCAGCAGCCAATATAAACCAGTTTAGTGTAGTGGTTAGGAGCGTGGACTCTAATCTGGGGGAACCAGGTTTGATTCCCCACTCCTCCACATGCAGCTTCTGGTGTGACCTTGGGTCAGTCATACATTCTTTCAGAGCTGTTGTCTCAAAGACAGTTCTCAGGAGAGCTCTCTCAGCCTCACCTACCTCACAAGGTGTCTGTTGTGGGGAGGGGAAGGGAAAGGAGATTGTAAGCTGCTCTGAGACTCCTTCAGGTAGAGAAGGGCAGGGTATAAATCCAATCTCTTCTTCTCTTCTTCCAGTCTGTGCATGGGCAGCCCAGATGCCAATTTGTATGGCATGAAGCTATGTCTGCCAGCTTCCTGACTGTGGGAGTCAGCACCTCGGGAGTGCCCCCCTGAGTCCCACCCACTGCTGAACTGGGACCCCTGCAGAGTATTCAGCGATCCCTGATGACTGGCCACAGACCAGCTGGAGTGGAATGCTAGCCATGTGTTCAAGGAGATACCCAGGGTTGGTGTTGGTGTACCCAGGTACACATCCCCATGGTACACATCCCGTCAAGAGGTTTCTTCCACAGGCAGGACCCATCCAGCAATCCAGCAACATCCTGGTAAGCAGCCGGTGCCTCAAATCATCCTTGGCAGCAGCAAAACTGGCACAGGCCCCCCTCAGGATGCCCTCCTACCCCTGAGCTCTCAGCTCCACAACAAGGCCACACACACACAGTAACACACAATATTAAGGCACCAATCCAATCCAATTTCTTACAAAGACCAATGGTTCAACCTTAGAAATCTTTTGAACCATTGGGTTCTGTAAGAAATTGGATTGGTGCCTTAATATTGCATGTTACTGTGTGTCTTTCTGTGAATGGAGTTGATACTCCAACTTGGTGTTATATCCCATTGCTCCTAACTGCTTTAAACTTTATGAAAGCGCTGAAGATATTTGTTTATTTGAAATGAGTGAGATTAAATCCAGAAGCCTTGTCTTGGATTTCATACTTTGGATCTCATACTCTGGACTGGGAGCAGATCTATTTGAGTATCTCACAAACCTCGCAGAATTAGAACATTTCGATTGTTTACTTGCTGTCTACTCGCGAGTAATTGGTTTACTTTTTGTAAATTCATATTTTGGATGATTGTTCCTTTACTTCTGCATTGTGATTATTTGGAATAGGATTTGTATTAGATGAATGGTTTTGTTAAGAAATAATCACATTTATATTGAAATAATACACTTTATTTAAGAAAAAATATTTGTTGTTTTTTGTGCTTTCTTTCACAGTCATATTTCCTATATTTCTCTACTACCTGGTCCAGCCAGACCTCCATCCAGTGCAGAACCACTAGCACAGCCATGAGAGAAGTGCCTGTGGGGAGGAAAGAGGGGAAGGTTGGTGCACTGCTGCCCAATGGCCCAAACCCCTGCCTCTGGCTGGGCTGCAGGTTGTGTATGGCCAGCTGAAAGGCACAGTGTTGGGCCATTGCTGTCCAGGAACTTGGCCATGAACTCCGTAAAGATGCCTTAGTGATGACAGCTGGCCTGCAGGTTCAAGATGTAGAAGTGGTACTGGTTGCGATAAACCTGCTGCACTACCCAGGGGGCAAGGAGCCCTATCGGTACATGATGTTTGGGAAGCGTGCAAATGCAGCAAATCTGGCACAGATGAGGGTCATCTCTGCTTCTTCCAGGGGAAAGTGCACATGCTACCGCAGGTGCAGCAGAATGTCATCCACCAAGCTGTGGGGGCAGCACCTTGCTGAGGGCTAGGACACCTCCAGCACCTCAGATATGACCACTGGAAACAAGCCTGTGTGAGGAAGTGGAGAGACAGCAGCACCTTCTGCAGGATGGGGATGGCCCTGAGGCCTGGCACCTGAATCTGTACAGGTGGAGGGTGCAAGGGCCACCACCATCCTGGTGTGGGCCATCCAGTAGCTGGGGGGGCTCATTAGACATACAAGCTGCTTGTGGAGGGGCACTCTTTGGCCCACAGTGCCTCCCAACCTGGCCCCATAGCCTAGTGCTGTCCCTAGGAAGTGGGGTTTGTGCCCAGCATCACCCTGCTCCTGCCGCATCTCCATCCTGTGTCTGGCTGGTAGTAAGAAGAGAAGAAGAAGAGATTGGATTTATACCCCGCCCTTCACTACCCAAAGGTGTCTCAGAGCGGCTTACAAACTCCTTTCCCTTCCCCTCCCCACAACAGACACCCTGTGAGGTGGGTGGGGCTGAGAGAACTCTGACACAAACTGCTCTTTTTCAAGGACAGCTGTGCCAGAGCTTGTGACTGACCCAAGGTCACATCAGCAGGTGCAAGTGGAGGAGTGGGGAATCAAACCCGGTTCTCCCAGATTAGAGTCCGCGCACTTAACCACTACACCAAAGTATGCAATCCACAGTCTGAAGGTTCCCATGGCGCCTGGGTCTGCCCTCACATTCTCCTGAGGCATGCTGGCATGGTCCAGCAATGCTACTGTCAGTTTGCTACTGTCAGGGGGCAGCAATGCTACTGTCAGTTTGACTGGACAAAGGCAGAGATAGCACTCTTGCATGGGCTGGTGGTGCAGCATGCCAGCATGGCCCTTGACACCTTATGCTGCCACTTACTGTCGTGTCTTCTGGTGCATGGTGGCAGAGCAGGTCTATGCCCTGGGCTACACTGTGGTAGAAGGAGCTGTCTGTCCTGAAGCAACAGAAATGATACCTTCGGGCAGGCTCAGAGGCATGTGCATGCCCTCATGGCTCAGAGCATCCCCTATGACCAGGCCCAATTCTGCGGCCTTGCTGCATGCAGTGATCCTACCCATAGTGGTGGTGGCTACAGGGCACTCCTGGGGGTCCTGCAGAGGGCCCAGCATCCCCCAATGCTGCCTGCTCAATCTTGCCTTTCTCTCTGCTGGCAACTCACTCTCCAGAATGGCTGGTGCCCAGCAGATGGGTGCCAGTGTTGGCGAGGAGGCTGGTCTGCATGACAGCTCATTGACTGCAGATCTGGTCATGGATCTGAGGGAGCAGCGGACCCTGGGGCCACACTCTCCAACATGTCCATGTAGCTGGGAGGTACCCTGTCAGTGACCACTGGGTGCCCCATGTTCCTGGGACAATACATGATGCCAAGCCCAGGGGTGCTGGCATGCTTTGGGTGACAGTGTGCAGAGTGGTAGGGTCCTCCTTCACTCCCTTTGTCACTGCCTCCATTCTGTTTGGTTGAGGCCTGTGCCATTAAGGTTGGGGTTGCAGGTGTGGCTGTGCACTGTATGGACCCACCCCTCCCCCTCCTTTCCTCATGTGTCCCTATGGCCAGCTTCCCATGGCTGCCAAATCCCCCCGGGGGGCGGATTTCCCCCCGCTTTGGAGGCTTGATTTCCGCCGTTGCAGAATTGGGCCCCGAGGGAAACCCCACCCCGGCGTGCACGTCAGCTGGATGTGACGTGATGACGCCGGGCACGCTGGGGGTGGGGCCACAGCCATTTGAGGGGAAAACATAGAGCTGAGGACGCCGAACAGGAGCCCCCCGCCGCGAGGTTAAGAATAATTTGGCAACCCTACCAGATCCCCATGGCTGCTGCTAGTTTCCCCTACTTATCACAGCCATACCATCATGCCCTTGCGACATTCCCAGCACTTGCTGCAGATCCAGTGGCACTGCAGCCTACACACCTCTGCTGCAGGACCATTTTGCCTGGTTCCTGGCCTGTGTGGTTTTCCTTAGGGAACTGACCACTAGAACCACAGTGGCCCTCAGGATTGTGCTCCCTGTCTGTCATCAGAATTCGATGGTAGGAAGAGCATAATGGTTCTGAATGAAGATGAGATACAAAATATGTGTATATAATCTTATGATCCCTTGCTTCGAGGTAGGCGTCCAAGACATTGGGAGTAGGTAGAGGCAATGATTGAGAGAAGGCTATTTTCTTTGTTCTTCATAGTATTAACTAATTAATTCTAGTCTCTTTACCTCAGTATGTTTGCTGTTGCCTTTCTTTCTTGTGGCAAAAGGTCAGGGTCTCTCAAAACTTCTTCTAGCAGATTTAGAACATTCATTTTCAGTTCATTATTTAGCTCAAAATCCTACAAAAGAAAAAGGATCCTGAATGAAGAAATTTACTTATATTATTATTCTCTGCACCAGGAGTTGTTTTGGGTTGTTTGAATATTTATATCCCACTTAACACAACAATAAAATAGTATCATCAACATTACGGAATTCTATCATAAAAATAAATCTAATATCCATGCACAAGATCAGATTCAGGTGAGTAGCCATGTTGGTCTGAAGCAATAGAACAAAGTGTGAGTCCAGTGGCACCTTTTAAGACCAACAGAATTTAATTCTGGGAAGTGTGCATGCACACAAAAGCTCATACCAAGACTTAAACTTTGTTGGACTCAAACTTTGTTCTAATGCACAAGACCAGTCAATTAAAAAGAAAGACCAACTGAAGTCCAACTCAAAAACCAACTGACCCCAAATCAGCAAAATGGCACCACCTTACAGAGTTTCCTGAAATCTGTCAATAAAGTGTGCTGCTTCTTTTAGCTGGCCATTCCATAGTGTTGGGGCAGCCAATAAGATGGCTTGTGAACAAACCATCATACTACTCTGTAGGAAGGAACAACAAGCAGAAACTGTAGTGAGGAGTATAACCAGCACTTTGCTGCTTATACTTTGATACTAACAAATATGTCAAAGACTTGTTATTTGACATAAGAATTTAGGATGATATTGGAGACTAAACTTTATAATGTAATCCCACTTAAGATTGTACAGTCAGTTTCTCACATTACGCAGCAGCAAACTTAACTCGACCTCTATGCATGTAATGAATAAATAATTGCAGTTATGCCCAGCTTCCTGATGGGGGCACTGTATAATACAATTCATTTTTTATATTTTTAGGTACACACAATATATTTTAAGCGTACACATCACAAATATGCCTTCTGCAGGAGCTAAATTCCACTGATTCCAACAGAATGGGTATGCTAATTAGGGACAATTCATTCTACCATTTTTAAACACAGCATTTCAAATTCATTTTCAGTTATTTTGAAATGCTGAGCTAGTCTTACAAACAATGCTATCTGAATGGTGACATATTACTTGTCTCAATCTGTTTTCAAATTATTTTTCAAGGTGTTGTATGCATCACAATCTATCTGATACAATAAGAATCATTCAGCAGACTTAGTTCAGCACAGCTAAAGCTAGTGAATAAAGCAGCAATCCTAAGAAGATTGACCCAGAACCCTACTCATGTCCCTTCAATGGGGCTTACGTCTTGGAACTCAAAGTTTTGATAACTTCAGCTTAATGATTGTGTCAGTCAGCCTGTGCCTTTAAGACATAATTCAAAATATTTTATATAGAAAACTTATGCTGATATTAGTGGAACTGGCTTCCAAGTAAGGCAGTCTAGAATTATAGACATTATGTTTGTATTAAGATATTTATATACATTTAGATCACTGAAATATATGCCATCATCTAGCAACACTGAATTTTCATGTAGCACGCTAAGGAATCCTTTCTAGTTCTATACACAGTAATTTTTCTTAAAACTTTCTGTAATTGTGTGCCCAAGGAATTTGATTTGCTTAAACATAATATTATCACACTCTCAAATCACTTGAGCATAAATCAGATGTTTTGTTTGTAACTTCAACTTGTTTAAGATTTTGTTTGTTTTATTTGTTTATCTTTTTCTAGTTTAGAGGAAATAGGAATATTGCTAATGGTTAAATGTGGTAGCAGAGAAGGAAAGGGTTAAAATAAAGGCACATACAAAATATCTTTTGTAGATTTGCATTTCAGCTCAGCACAGATGTTTGGATAAAGAATTTAAACTAGAAAGCTTCATCTATCCAGTATACATGCAGCAGTTCCTTTTTATAGTGATTTGTTTGCTATCATGTGGGCAACAATTCAGCATCTGTTGCCATAGAAACTGAAACAATAGTCATTTGCAAAGTTCTTGAAACTCTTGTACATTTATTTTGAATGTACAGTTGAGATACATATACTATGACACTTAATTCAACACATTTTAATTCTGGCTTCTAGTGACTTTTTCAGCTTAATAAATAAATCTGCTCTTGGCAGTGCTTTGTGCCAAACCTGTTGGTAAAAGATCTACAACGTACCAAGAGTACAAACTGTTGCCTATCTACAGACAATGGTTTCCCATGATTGAGATTTGAGATAATAACGGGAAGCGCTTTGAACACCTCTCTGACCTGGATGGCCCAGACGAGCCCCATCTTGTCAGATCTCAGAAGCTGGTTAGCATTTGGATGGGAGACCCCAAAGGAAGTCCAGGATTGCTACTCAGAGGCAGGCAACAGCAAACCAACTCTGAACATCTCTTGACTTGAAAACCCTACGGGATCACTGTAAGTGGGTTGTGACTTGATGGCACTTTACACCATCACCAGTCTGAACGAAGAAGAAGAAGAAGAAGAAGAAGAAGAAGAAGAAGAAGAAGAAGAAGAAGAAGAAGAAGAAGAAGAAGAAGAAGAAGAAGAGGAGGAGGAGGAGGAGGTTGGATTTATACCCCGCCCTTCACTTACCCAAAGGTGTCTCAGAGCGGCTTTCAAACTCCTCTCCCTCCCCCTCCCCACAACAGACACCCTGTCAGGTAGGAGGGGCTGAGAGAACTCTGACAGAAACTGCTCTTTTTCAAGAACAGCTGTGCCAGAATTATGGCTTGCCCAAGGTCATCCAGCCAGGTGCAAGTGGAAGAGTGGGGAATCAAACTCAGCAATGGGGTGTTTAAGGCAAGAGAAGAGCAACGATGGTTTGCCACTGCCTTCCTCCAAGGAAGAACCCCAGGCTTCCTTAGTGGACTCCCATACAAGTACTGATGACGGCTGACCCCATTTAGCTCCCAAACTGACTATTTGGGCCAAACTGGGCTATTTGGGCTGCTTTGAATGCTTAAGCCACTGTATAAATACTTGTTTTATTATGTATCACTATCTGGATCGAAAGACTAATTTCTGCTAAGTGAGGAGGCTTCCTCCCTTGGAAAAAGACTCCTTACTGAATGGGAGGGAGATTCGGGTGTGTCTGAAGCAGCAAAATAAAGTTTGAGTCCAGTGTGCACGGACACTTCTTCAGATACCCAGGATAAAAATTTGTTAGTCTTAAAAGTGCCACTGGACTCAAATTTAATTTTAATGGAAGGGTTAGTGTTATGCATGGCGAGCTAGACATTTTTTGGGCTGAGAGAACTTTGAAAGAGCTGTGACTAACCCAAGGTCACCCAGTTGGTTTCATGTGGAGGAGTGCGGGATCAAATCCAGTTCTCCAGATTAGAGTCTGTTGCTCTTAACCGCTATACCACACTGGCTCCCTATATAAAATTTGTTGACTTCATGTACTGTACAAAGTAAAGGCAATAAATTTAAATATAATATCCTGTTTTGGGGAAAAGACACACACTTTTATCATTGAGGAATGAGCTCTTTTGATACCAGAGTAATGGAATAACAATATGTTTTCCCAGTGATGCTTTGACAAGCTCTACATTTCTCATGTGGCAACATTCTAAACCACAGAAATATCAGGCATGTAGCAAATGAATGTTAAGAGGGCTGTTTACAGCTTACAAGCAAAAAGATTGTTGCTATGCAGCAGGAGAAAAACACCTTTCACTTTCCTTGCAGTGGAATTATATTTATATGCAATTTATAGTTAGTTTTCACATTTATTGACAAGGTTTTCTTTTCATGAGAGTCAGTTCATTGTAGTAGTTAGAAGCATGGACTCTAATCTGGGAGAACCAGGTTTGATTCCCCACTCCTCCACATGCAGCTGCTGGTGTGACCTTGGGTCAGTTACAACCTCTTTCAGAGCTGTTCTCTCATGAGCAGTTCTCAGAAGAGCTCTCTCAGCCCCACCTACCTCACAGGGTGTCTGTTGTAGGGAGGGGAAGGATAAGTGATTGTAAGCCACTCTGAGGTCCCGGTCACGCGGAGGGGGGGGAGCACGGCCAAAGCGTGGCTTTTCTGAGCCGCAGCAAAATAGACATGCAGTGGTGGGATCAGACAGATCCCCTGAGCTGCCGCGCAGTTGCTCCCCAGCACGATCAGATGCCGGGGGAGAAGCCACGGGACGGAGAGCGAGGCAGCCGGCTGCGCATGTGCGCACATGCGCAATTTGGCCAGGAGCCTCGAAACGCCACACTCCTTCAGTCTAACCTACCTCACAGGGTTGTTGTGATGATAATGTAAGCTGTTTCAGGTCCCCATTGGGGAGAAAGATGGGGTAGAAATGAAATAAATAAATAAGTACTTAATGGTCTTCTCCCCCATCCCCCCCCCAATGCCTTTCATACATTCATTCAAACATGAACCTTGATGGCTGCAACCCAACGCATGTTCACCTGGAATTAAACCCTACTGAACAAAGGACGTATTTTTTGAGTAAAGGTTTATCACATTAAGGTACACGAGTATAAATTATGGTATAGATTTTAATAACTGAAAAAACATTACTTGTCTTCACAAGATACCTACCTCACAAGAAAACAAACAAACACAGTTCAAATCTTACTTACCTAAGAGAGAGGCCACTTCATCATAGCAGTGTACCAGATGGACCCAATATAGGCATTAGTCCAGTCATGATAGCTAGTGTAGTGCTGTGGTTAAAATGTCAGAATGGAATCTAGATGATCCGGGTTCAAATCCCCACTCTGCCATGAAGCTCACTTGGGACAGTCACTCTACTTCAACCTAGCCTACCTCATAAGATTGTTGTGAGAATGGGAAAACTATATATACCACCCTGTGCTCCTTCATGGAAGAGTACATTAAAAATCTACTAAATAAATACAATTTATTTTCGCCAAATCTAATTACAGTCAGTGAGATACAACAATATGGTGGTAATGTTCCATGTAACTGAGCTCCTTCATGTAGTAATTTAAACATTATTCTCTTTTGTAAAGAGAATAGTCATGTGCCAACATTAATTTTCATATAGGGTAAAGTAATATTTGAATTGCTTGAGATGAATATAAACTTGATATACTGCCATTCTTTAGGGGAAATGGATGAGACAGTTCAAGCCCTATTTACAGGTAAAAGATTGCAAAGCGAAAAAGTATGGTTATTACGATAAATTTTACTATTCCTCAGATCTATTCGGGAAACCTAGACTAAACAGTCCTGGTTCTCCATATCCCCACATCTACTTCTTAGGAAGAAGTGTACATACTTTTCTTATTAGTTTAATCATGACAATTAAGCAATCTTTTTTCTCTTAGAGTCGCACAGCAGCGGCATCAAAGAGAATGTTAATAATGCAGCCTTGTAAAAATTCTACTGTTCATATTGCAGAGGATTAAAATCTAGTATATGGACCTAATCATCACATAGTACTACTAAGGGAAACATTTACTGTGCAAAACAATGCAAAAGAAACACATCTCTTCCGCATTAGAAAAATTTATGGAAAATTGTAATATAAAAATACCTGAGAATGTTTTGAGACCCAGTGGCGAAGGACATTCAGAACACGATTGGTGGCTGCTCGACGTATTATGAACTCTTTATCACATGTTCGTTCATTGTTATTAAATCCTAGCAATTAAACAGATAATCATGGTTAAATAAGTGTACTGAAGAAAAAGGTCCAAGGACCAAAGGAAATTCTCAAGGTATAGCAAGTTCTATAGGTTCAGGTGACCCACACAAGCTTTTCAACAATGATACAACAAAGAAATATGGGTTACTGTCTCCAGAAGGCTCACAATTTATTCAGTTTTCTTACCAATCCATTTTTGAACAACCATTCCATTAGATGGGATCTGCTCCTTCCCACCATCAAAAATAATCCACCCTGTTCAGTACAGGAGTGTCAAGAATATGGGACACATCGGGTATAATGGAGAATCAATTTGGGGCTCTCGGGGAGCTGGTTTTTTGAGATAGATGCACTAAATTTGCAGCATAGCTGCTGGTTCCTCTCTCAAATCCCCCCCCCAAGTTTTAAAAAAGACTGCACTAGGGGATCCAATTCTATGGGCCCCCAAAGAAGATGTCCCCATCTTCCATTACTTTCAATGGAGTGGGGAAGGCATTTAAAGAGACTGCGGTCTCTTTATATGCCTTCTGAGATCACTTGCTGAATTGTGGCGGTGGCACAGCTTGGAGAAGGCATTTAAAGAGTCTCACTCGCTGAGTTATGCTGCTGCCGCAGCAGCAGAATCACAGCTTGTAGAAGGCATTTAAAGAGAGTCTCTTCTGCCTTCTGATAGCAGAGGGAGCTATGGATGTTGTAGTGGTAGAAAACTGCAGTGAGTTCATTTTCATTGCATGCTGTTAGAAAAGCCAGATACCACCTCTAGCAATCTGTTCTTATAACTCATGATAGTACAGTTGGAGCCTGCAAAATAGAGAGAGAGTGTGTTTTTTTATTTTCTACGTTTTTTATTTAAAGATAAGTCACATATACATAAAATCCAAGAAGCATAAACAGTAATACATTCAACCCTATTTCAACGACATGTAAACTAATACAGTTAAGACATTTCAATATATCCATATATCAAAATTAACTTTGCCTGACTGAGGCCTTATGCTCTTTGTTTTGTTCCCAAGTATCCTACCACTAATATGTGAGTGTCTTATAGTACCATTAAGATATGTGGGGTGCTCAATGAAATAGTTTTCTGCAGGGGTCATTTCGGGGGGATCGTGGGGGATCGCAGTTCCCCCGGGTGAGATTCGGAGGGGAGGGGCACACGGCGAAGCCCCGCCCCCTCCTTCCGGTCGGGGTAAAATGGCGATTTGACGCACCCTGTAAGTGCTCAAGATGGACAGGTGTTCCTTACAGCAGTTTGGACTGTATTTTGGTCCAACGCGGCTTCCCCCAGGCAGGGGGAATGACTGGCAGGCATCAAGACCCAAGAGAGAGTTGAGATTGGTGTGATCAAGTCTCGGAGGAGGCTTGTATTACACTTTGATCCCCTCTCCCGAAGCGGGCGAGCGCATTCAGGGGGTGTGGCCTCATGACATACTTCCGGTGATGTCAGGAGGTATGGCATATGCTAATGAGTTATGCTAATGAGTCCCCCTAGCTCTTTTTCTACGAAACGACCCCTGGTTTTCTGTCGCTTTTTCAGACTAGCATAAGTGAACATTTTAGCATCTGTAACTGGCCTCTTGGGCCCTGAAACCAGGGTGGTATTTCCACAGAGGGAGACATCCCAAGACAACCTCTGAACCTCCTAAAGCAGTGTCTTCATGAAGCCAGGCTTGGCTTAGACAGTGGCTTTTGCTGGGAGTCTAAGAGAACCTCATTTCAAGCTGCACTGTCAGAACATCCTCCATGCAGGCGACCCCCCCCCCACTCTTCTCTCCTGTCAGCTCATTCCATAAGGACTAAAATAAGCAAGTCTCTGCCCTTGCCTCAGGCATACCAAATGCCTTTTGTCTGCCAAATATATAGGCTGGGAGGGACAAAAAGCCTCTGGACTTTGCTATTGTCATGAATGAAGTATGTTGCATGGTTCCAGCCCCCAACTCCTGTTTCACTTGTATATCAGGAAATACCTTCTGAATAATCCTCTCATTCCTGTTTCCATATATTTGTCTCAAATATCTGCATTCTGATACCTCTGCCAGACCTATCAAGGTAAACATTAACTCTTCATGTCCAGTGAATGGTCAGCCATTCAGGTTCATCCTGCCACACATTAAGCAGCCTCACCTCCATTGTCTGGCACCAGGGAAAAGCCAGACCACCCTGTTGTTCCACAATGGACACTCCCAGCTGAACCATCCAGCACCTTGTTACTCTCATCAACACTATTGTAAATCCAGACTCTGCCCCTCTGGGACTTCATTTGGTCACACCTAGGTTTTACTCCTCCTGGTGTCACACCCCCTTAGACCCCTAATTGGTCCAGGTACTCTTTTATCTTCACCTGAGACAAGTCCCTCAAGTCCTCCCATTGGCCTGCATTGTTTTCCCATGTCTATATCCACTAAAGCACATGGCCTTGACCATGTGTCACTCTGCAGCAGCCTACAGTAGAGATGCACCCCCAAACCCCACAGTTTGGGTCCCCTCCCTTTCCAGTAATGGACCCATGCATGTCTAGATAGGTATAGTATTACCCCAATCCTCTCACCCCCTCACCTAAAATGACCACAGTTGCAATCCAGCACACATTTATACAAACCCTCTCACACCAGATTAAGAATGAAAATCTCCTTCTGAACATTGGTGCAATTCCTTAGAACTGGTTTCTCAGGGGATACAGCAGGCAAAGTCTGGTGTAGTGCTTAAAAGCCAGTTTGCTGCAGTGGTTAAGTGCATGGAATCTAATCTGGGAGAACTGGGTTGGATTCCCCACTCCTCCACTTGCAGCTGCTGGATGACCTTGGGCAAGCCATAGTTTTGTCAGAGCTGTTCTCTCAAGGTCAGTTCTGTCAGAGCTCTTTAAGCCCCGCCTACCTTACAGGGTGTCTGTTGTGGGGAGGGGAAGGGAAGGAGATTGTAAGCCGCTCTGAGACTCCTTTGGATAGCGAAGGGCAGGGTATAAATCCAATCTTTTCTCCTCATCATCAAAGACCCTTTACACAAGCTCTGTTCTACTCATGGTTCTCTAGATCCAATCCATTATTAACAAGGGGAGGTCCATTTTATCAATAATTAGCAATTTAAAAACAAGGTTCCTGTTTAACATTTGCTGCATGGTGAGAGGCTTGCCTTAGTTTGAAGGAGAGCATATACCCAGTCCGTTGACAGAATTGCTAAGCAACAGTTCCGTTAAATTCAAAACTGCTCTTGATTTAGGAACAAAAATAGAAGCCTATTCAAATTCATTGCAGAGTTCGTGAATATTGAAAGGAGGAAAAAAGAATACTTTTTATGGGTGTAAAAATTCATACATAGAATGAAATCAATTGATCCTTTGCCTATTATTGGCACCTCAGACAGTCAAGAAAAGATAATCTGGGTAAAATATGATAAATACATAAATGTCATACAAAAAGGTAAAACATGATAAATATAATGTCACATGAAAAGCCATTAGAGAGGAAATTCCGAGACCATAATGCATGGTAGGTAGAAGCACTTCATTCTTACAAAAAAACACAGATTAGATAGATGTACCGGATTCTAAATTGGAGGCAGTTCCTACTGTTATGTCTGGACATGTGCAATCTTCAACTCAGGCTTAACTGCTGCTGGTGCAATAGCCAACATAAGGAGGCAGGCCTGGACTTGTCTGGCAGGCAACCTAGTTAGAGCTTGAAGCCCCAGAACAAAGGCAGGCAGGATCCTGGAGCCTGCCTGTGGATTGGCCCCTGGGGGAAGGCAGCCAATCTGGAGCCTGGAGGCCATTTGAACTCACCAATCACATGAGGGCTGGGAGTGGCTTAGGTGTATATAGTTAGGGCAGTTGCCCCATGTAAAGCATTCCTGTTGAGATGCAATAAACTGCTGCTTGTTGAAATCACTCTGCCTTCACCTCTGCCGTGTTAAACCCACTATTTAATGCCTACATCTTTGATAGCTGTACAAAAGAATGAGTTTCACCATGCAGCTTTGGCCAAAGTACTGCAAGTTAGGACAACATACACCTGAGAAGTGTCTATACAGCACAACCTTTGAAGGAATAAAAACGCTAAAAACACTGAATCTGGAAAGCCTACCAGTATACTATCTGCTGATGGACAGTGAGACTTCCATCAGGTTATTTCTATAAGTAAGTGTGCAAACCAAGGATTATTTGTAAGTATTGGTTTCTACCAATTGGGGTGGCTCTCCCATATCTCTCTCATTCCCAGTAACAGAAGCAAGATCTGAATACCGGAACCTGTATGAAAAAGTCAGTATGGTGCAGTGGTCATGTAGTGTACAGCATGTCAGACTAGGATCTGAGAGACCCAGGTTTCAGTTACCAGTATGGCACAGAAGCTTTCTGAGTGACCTTGGGCAAGTCACATGCTCTCAACCTAGCCTACTCACAGGGTTGTTGTGAGGAAAAATAGAGGAGAACAATGTAAGCCACATTGGGTCCCCACTGGGGAAAATGGAGGAATATAAATGAAGAAAAACAAATAAATAAAACACAAAGCTGGGAAACTCCTCTTGATAAAGACAGGCAGTTCTATCAATCACATTTTTATCCTACAAGGAACTGTGAGTGACATACATAGTTCTCCCTTGCCTCATCTAACCACTGTTCCAAACTATCAGCATACTCAGAGCTAGTGATGTTCCATGTCTGCTTCCCCTTCTTAATTGTAACATCTAGTTTAATACAAGACTTGACAATACCACTTGCTGTGGTACTACAACACATCTTCATTATTCCTTTTAAACCAAGTATGGTAATGCAGTGTGTGGTGCCCTATCCCTGCCTTAGGGCACACCATGGTACATTTCCAACACATTGAGCTGTTTTAAATCAGTCATTATGAGAAAGAGGAGAAAAATCGATCAGAGCAGAAGCAGTTCTGGGCCTCTGCCTCTAGATGATTTTTGTAATACTATGTATAATATTGGAGATAGGCATGGGAGCTCACCACCTCTTACTAAAGTCCCATAATACATCCTCTTTTTCACCTTGTTAACAAAGCCTTTTTGTCCCAGAGTTAAATATATTTAAGTCAGGCAAAGCCAGGCCTAGCACGAAGCAGGCTAGCCAGAGGGGACACACAACCCATATGGTCCCCAGGCTGGAGCGGCCTCCTTCCCTGCTGGTGCCACCTCCCCTGCCCCTGATCCGGGCTCCTGAGGTGGACCTGGCTGTTGTACTACCACCATGGTCCATGGCCACAGCCCTGCTGTCGCTGCATGGCTTACTGTGGCCATCTCCTCCAATGACTGACTCAGCTGGCCACCCCGTCTACACTGCCAGCCTCCTCTATCACTAGCCTCCAGGACGAGTTCCCAATAGATGGGGGGGGGGATCCTCAGGTGACAGGGAGAGGGTTGGTCAGCACCCAGACTCTCCTGGATCTCCAGGTGATGGACAGGGGCTTCACTAGTTGAAGTGGCACCCAACCCCAGACAGGCTGTTCCCCGTTCCCTGGCTTTCTTGTTCAGACCCTTTAAACTTTAAAGGGACTGCACAAGAAGGCCCAAAACAGCTAAGAAGCTGGGAGAGCTCCTGCCATTCAGCTGTTTTTGCAACTTTCTGAAAGCCCCAAATGAAGTTTGCTGGGCCCACTGAATTGGTTAGTCAAAGAGCAAACTGGTTTGGTTTGTGGTTCAGTTCGTGGTTTGGCCATGAACCACGAACTGAACCACGTTTTTGCGGTTTGTGCCCATTCCTAGACAGCACTGATGTAACTTCAGAAGTTGCTCCTATTCTTCCAGAAAAATTCTTCCAGCTAATATTCTTCAATTTTAAAAAGAAGCAAAAAAGGTGGCAGCAGAAAGATTGTAAAACAGCAATATAGATATGGAATATAAAATCGATCATATTTATTTACTTTATTACAATTTAGTTTACTGGCTAAGATTCACTAGAACAGATTTAAAAGAGAAAAAAGCAGAAAAAAATCAAGGGAGAAAGGATATAATTTTTTATTGTAATGTCAAAATGCCAATAGAGAAGGAACCATGTGAACCTCACAGGGAATTTACAATACTGTGGTTAACAATAGAGATCCATCACTTTGCTGTGTAGTGTGTATGCTATTATATCATCCAAAACAAAACTCAAAACCTATACTTAATGTAAAATAGATATACCTTCTCTCCTCTTTGCAATGGTAACGTGTGGTGATATGACCTCAAAATATACAAAGGCAAAACATGCAATAAATGTCTAAGGATTAAACCATCTCATTTGTTGAATGTATTGCAAAACAATCTGTATTATGTAGCGTCATCTCACATTCTCAGAAAGTTAACATTCTGGATTCACTTGGCAACAACACGTTAAATCGCGTTGCCTATCAAGAAAATCTTCAATGTACCCACTAGATTCTATTTGAAGGATACTTTTGTGTTTTTTTGTGCAAACATTTGTCATGTAGTTGCTGCAATTATAGTGCTTATGCCAAAAAAAGCAAAACAACAGAAATATGATGACACCAGAGAACAGGGTAATGATATTATTTCTAATCAGCCATTGCTGGTCATGAAACAAACTGAAAGACACTTAGAAAATAACATATGAAATTTTATTTTGCTAAATATAGATATTTAATTATTTTGCCTCACTTAATTAGACCTGTGTTTCATTTATATGAATGGAAAGCCTTAAAGAGATGTTTTGTGGAGCACCAAGTAAATTATGAATTGTTACACTGGAGAAAATTTAAGTTTGTAAAATACAATATAATAGCTCAGACATAACATGGAACTATGTGGTTGGATTAGCAATCCATCAGCAGAACGCTCTGATAGTCATGGATCTTTTCCAAAGCTCTGCTGACAGAAAAGAGAAGAGAGGGTGATTTTGCCTTCCTCCCCCCACCCGACCTCGCAGCCTCCTGATTCACTCAGCTGTTAGATCACACAGATTCCACAACTTCAGGAATAAACTTTTTATGGGGTCGGAAAGGACTACTGGGGGTGGGAGATATGGGAATGATCAGTAACCCATGGTTACTACAGTAACCCCAACTACAATTTGTGAAACCAGGATTCATGGTACAAATAGTTATACAATTCTTGGTTTGGCTCAACAAGTACTGGTTTCACTATCTTTGCTTTTGCTCTACAGAGATCTAGTTTGAATCCTGGCCTGCTTTGTGGAGAGGGTAGTGCTACTGAATGAGAATTTTAAAATATCCTTCTCCCTACCTTTGTCTTGTTTTTATTAGGCCTATTGTGCATTGGTGTCCCCCCCCTTTCACTGTGCATGTCCGTCAGGTTTTCCTTGTTGTTCTGAATTGATTTTCCTCCCTTCAGCGCTCAGTTCACTTTCTGGTCCCTGTTTCCCCAGTTTTCTGAGAGTGCTTCTGTGCCGATTTCCCCCTTGTTTTGCTTCCAAGCCGAAGGTAATTCAAAAGAACACAGATCCCCTTGGATTTCCCCCTCACCCTGTTGCTGTCCCACGAAGGTCACTCTCTGCCCACACTGAGATTGTTCCACCCACTCTGCACTTTCCGCCATCCTTCCCTTTCATTGGTGTACAAGCTCCATTTTCCCGTTTTAAAATTTTTAATTTTTTTGACAAGCAGCATGAGCCTAGCATTAGGAGACCATTGATAGTCTTGGATCGCTGAATAGAAAAATTAAAACAACCGGGAGGGGGGCAGTTTAAAAGGAGCTGTGTGAAGCTTAGTTCCCTGCTGGTATTGACTTGAAAGGGGGATCAGAGAGGATGCAAATGGCAACATCCCCAGTGCAAAAAAAAAATATTCAGTGCTACAAACAAACAAAATAAGGAGGGGGGGAATCATCAGTGCAGAATGAAATTGATATGAGATGTAAAGAGAGAGAGAGAGAAACTGGGATGGGAAGCTTAAAGCTTTGAAAATGTTTTTCCATTTAATGCTTTAGTGAACAAAGTTGGGGGGGAACCATTTTGGCAGTCTCCAGAAGACTAACATTAAAATGCTGGCTGAGCCACATGGACCTTCTGAAAACTGCCCAATATAAGAATCACTTAGGATCAATCCATTTGGAGGACAGAGAGCAATCCATACAGGACAGGCTTTAAAAAACTGCCAAGATCACGACCAGTGTGCAGGATCAAATTAGAGAATCACAAAGAAAAAAACCATGCAGATTTGCAAGGAAGGGCAGGAAATTAGCGTTACTATGCAGCTGCATCAGGGCTTTGGTGAAAATAGCCCCCTTTTTTCCAATTTAGTGGCACAAGACTAAAAAAGCTGTCCAGAGTTTCTGCCAGAGGACTCCTCCCCCATACAAACTCTAGTCCTGTGCAAAATGTGGTGGAGTTGCAGCTGACTGCACAGGTGCACACACACACACACAGATGTTGTCAATGATCACAGCTTGTAATGACAGTGTCAGTGGGTTCTACTGTGCAATCTGTACACTCAACACGTTCCCCCATATTATGAGATTTTTCACAGTGGCTGATAACACAGTAGAGAATTCCTTAGTGCTTGGCAATATGGAAAATCGGTTTCGCACCCCCCCCTTGCTTGTGCTCCTTTCTGTTCCCTTTCATTCAGTGAACTAATCCTAAATGCATGCACAAAACCTGAACCACAAATATTTAAATGGAAGGCATTTGTTAGGTGCTACTGCGCAGCTATGATAGGGCAATTGTGTAATTTAAAAAAAAACAAAACCTTTGGACATCACCCCCCACACATCAGAAGTGATGTTCCACCCCGATGTAGAAAACTGCGTTTTTAAAACTGTCGCTGCAGAATAAATACACTTGAGGGGGGAAAATGGTGCGTAAGGAAGGCACAGAATCTGAAGTTAAGATTAAAGGCTTGCTGCTCTGAAAATCTGCAATATGGCATAATGGGCATAATGGGACTCTAAGTGTACAAGCACAGACTGGTTATCCTTGTGTAATACTTTAGGTACTTTGAGTAAGAAAAATGACTGTATAATTTAAAAATATTGCCACTTATCAAAACCCCCATAAAATTGTGTCTGTGCTTAGATTTATTTAATCAATGGAATGCATTAGGGTCTATTCATGCAAAATTAGATTCTGTTCCTCCTGCAATTTCTGTAGGAGAATTATGGCATCTAATTTCATGACAATATCAATTTGACCCCATTTTACATTGGGCCAATCCAGATTTGAAAACTGGAATGAAATCTTTTTTTAAAGAAGGCTGCAACATGATGAGTTTTTGTTAGTTTTTCTCAGCTAAGGTCTAGATAAAATCTGTCAACCTCTGTTGAATGGCAATATTTACAACTTCAGTATCTGTTGGTACCTTGCAGCACTAAGTATTTCACAATTTTCTTTACTACTGCAAACTTTCATTAAATAAATGCAGTAAAGGAAATCTACAATATTTGTTTATAAATATTTGATGTTGATTAAGAGTATGATAGGCAAAATCTCAGAAATGAATGGAAAAAGGAACAAGATTGCCCAGTTTTGCCAAAGCAATGTGATATAGCACTAAATTTTACTTATTCAGCTAAAATAATGTTTTGGCTGTAGTGGACGCTACAGCATCTTCTTACTAAAGGCCTAAGTAAAGTGTCTAACTGCTGATGTTACAAACAGATTAAAAATAGTTTTTATTTGAGAGTTATTACTGCCTTAAATGCTGTATGAAATTGGAATTTGGGTGACATTAGTGGTTTTAAGTTGCTATGTGAACCTTATAAGGGAGTTATGAGATAGTTGTGAATGGTTGTGTGAGTGTATATGAATATTGTTGTAGATCACCGAAATGATTGCATCTTAATTTCGTTGTACTATGTACAATGACAACAAAGTATATTACTATTACTATTACATATGTTAAACATATGCTTTTGGCCTGTTTGTTTGATACATAGTTTATTTGCTAAAACACAAAGAAGGAACAATGATCTGATTTCTCTTGCACTAGAAGGCTCACCTGGTGGACTTCCATGGCCAGCTGCAGCTGTAGCAATGGCAAAAGCAGAAGCAGGGGAAACAGAACAATGACTGTTGTCAGTGGTCTGTACTGCAAAGAAAAAAATAAAAACCAACAAGAACAGTTTGCTTGATTGTCCCTCTGTATGCATGTAAAATCAAGAAAACACATTAAAACTATGCCAGTAGTCTCTTGCTGAAAAAAGCAGAACATGTTGTGATGAAAGAAGGAGAAATGATCTGATTTTTATTTTTAATCACAACAATGTTCTTCAGGAGGAAGTTTGTTATCCTTTCCAGGAGCAGAAAGGTCATGAATGCATTTTCAGGATCACTTTCCTTGACGATGGCAGTACCATAATCATGTGGAAAAGCAGCACACGTAAAATGTTTTTAATGTTTACATTTAAAGAAAGGCAGGGAAACAGTATGGCCCTAATCCACGTAAAGCCCCTGCTTTCTGTAGTTAAACTGCATGTCAAGGGGTTCATTGACAGGTCTCCAATGACATGAGTAGTTTGGCCCTCAAAGGGAACAAAAAGTGTGTGCTTCTTTGTAATGTACCACGTGGACTGTTTACACTTCCAACAGTTACTAATGGAAGCTATCACATATCTGATAACAGAGAGATATGTGAAAAATTCACTGTGGATGTTACAGAGGTGCAAAGAGAAGAGGAAGCAAGAAATTATTTGTGTTTCTTGTTGGATGCACTTAAGTTCTGGTGGAAGTCTCTGCATGTAGAAGAAGTGAGCCGCAGGATACAACCCACAGGGTTGAGATACATGTTGTTATAACATTGCATTCTTTAGACATCTGGTGATAGGACAGATATGCTGGAGATCTACCAAAAGCATTTCAGCTTCTAGTTAAACAATTTATTCACATCCTGTAATGAGTAATTAGGATACCATCTGTACATTTTCATTGCCATACTTGTAGAAACATACATAGTAATTTCCCATTAATAATGATCAGTTGTCATACATCTTATCATTATACATAATGCACATATGTTCCTCTAGTTTGCTTAATTGAAATCAGTCAGGAATAAGACTTGAGTCAATATTTTTCTTGAACAAATGTATATCTTGTTCAAAATATTACAGAGCATTTCATCACATCCTTAACACCAATATGTCTTTTATTCTCTCATTGCTCATATGCTAATCATTTAGAATGGTATAACTCACATTCTGCTTTCATTTTCTAGTTCAGAAATATATACTAAACAAATTATTTGGAAGTTTAATACTTTAATGAGATAAGAAGACTAAAAAATAGGATTCAGTATTTAGTCTACAATCCAGCACTGTTACACAAGCTTAACACCTGCTATTGTTTCTCAAAGCCATTCCATTTACACTGTTTTAAAGCCAAAGATTCTATCTTACCTCCTGGTGGTCGATAACGTAGATGTCGTGGAGTTGAAGGAGATCTACATGGCGAAAGTTCAGGTGTATCCACAGTTGAGGCACTTTCTGGTATTGTGCGGTCCACTGACACAGACTCTAGAACCGCTGCTTTAAAAATGTGAAGGTACATTTTAATACCAAGATGGCAAAGGATCTTATAACTTACTAGGAAAATGGCCCGTTATGGAAATCAATACAATGTCCTCTAGAAAGAGGCTCTGGGCGGGTGCCCTGGCCTTGGACACTCAGTGTCAATTTGCTGTGGTGACCTCAGCAGGGTATAATGACACTGAGTCCACCATTTTCTCCAGAGGAACTGATCTCTGCTACCTAAAGAACAGTTGTAATTTTGAGTGATCACCGGCCCTCACCTGGAGATTGGCAACAATGGTTCCCCAGAAAGGAATAGTTGGTTTGGAGGGTGGAGTGAGGTCCCACGCCTCCTGAAACCTCACCCTCTCCAGGCTCCATCCCTCATATCTCCAGAAATTTCCCACCTGGAGTTGGTAACCCTATCTCTTTCCCAGCCAATCATCAACCTACCTTTATTTCCCCCTCACTCTTCAGCTTTCCACCCCCCACACACCTGCAGCCTCTCCCGTGCTCTGAAGCCCTGACTGCTACGTCACATTGGCTGTCATATGGGGGCCACCTCAGCAGCATATAAGGATACAGAGCCCACCATTTTCTCCAGGGGAACTGATCTCTGCCATCTGGAAAGCAGTTGTAATTCTGAGTGATCTCCAGCCCTCACCTGGAGATTGGAGACATTTTACCTCAGAACAGCAAAACTGTTTAGAATGTTAGAGGCAAAAGCCAATCAAGTTGCATATGCAAACGACCTCTGTGTTCCAAGGCAGAGGCCAATGAGGCTGCATATGCAAGTAACCTCTGTGTTCTGACTGGCTATGGGGGGGGAGAGGAACAGCAAAATGTTTAGAATGTTGAAGGCAGGACTCAGGTAAAGCAGCCAGTGGATAGGGAGACCCTCTGAATGACAGGTCAGAGAGCGAACTGATTTTGGAGCGTGTGGAATGTTCTAGAGAAGTGCCACCACCATTCGGCTTTTATTTATAAGGGAGATTCCACCAATATGACATTACAGACATCTCTTAGAGATTATCCTATATTTTGCTTCACTCTGAATCCAAAGGCTTCCTTGTCTCTCATTCCAGGTTTTATACAAAAGCGGGTGAATTTTTAAAGAACTGAATGCAACATCTGCTTTGCAAAAATAAAGGAGTTTTAAACTTAATGGAAAAATAAACATAACATGTAATACGAATTATAAATACAGTACACAACTGTGGCTTAGATGCCATGAAGTATCTCTGCAGGTAGAGAAATATTTGATCCTAGAACACTTTCTCACCTCCTGTGGCAGCCTGAAATGCTCTCTGAAATCCTGTTCCTGAGGGTCCCCAGGAACAGAATTTGGGGGGACACTTCAGGCTACCACAGGAGGGGGAAGACAAGAAAGCTGCATTCTGTAAACGTGTGTCCCTCTGCCTGCAGAAATACTCTTTAGGATCTAAGCCTATATTATTTCATGCCAGCAGCTTCGACAGATTATTCAGCGGGGCTGACTCCAAAATCAAATAGTGGAAGAACATCTTTTCTATGTTATTGTCCAAATACAGTTGCTCTGTTATTTTTGCAATATTCTGAACAGTGGTTAGATTGTCCACATTCTCTACAGTATTGTTCAGTAGCTCTGAACAAAATACAGTAATTTACGCAAAGCATTGCTCATCGTTGAAAATGGTAATTTAGCTGAGGTCCATATGACACCGTGTACCCCCTTGAATTTTGGCTACTTGCAATTAATTCTGCAACTGGACAACTCTAGGTGAACATTATTTCTTTTAACACCACCTTTTTATGTTACAAGATGTCAAAGATTATAAATAACGTAAATAAGTAAGTAAATAAATGAAGGAGTTAGCACTTTGGGAAGTGTGGTAAATAATTAGTTAAGATTATGCTACTGATGCAGGGGCACACAGAAATGAATATGCTAAGTAAATAAATAAATTAGTGTTCTTGACAGGTACCAATGATAGCATAGGCTGTGAATAAGGCACCCGAAGACACAGTTTTAGAAGAACAGAGACTGATCTGTCAATAGTGGAGACAAAAGTTACATGATTAGGTATTTATTATTTATTACACACAGGAAGCATATAATAATAATAATAATAATAATAAACCAAGTTTATACAACAGGTATGCAGACTGGCTGGGGAATCCCCCTAAAGATTAATATCTGAATTTTCAATCCACTCAACTGCAGCTGGGGAGAGTTCAAAGAGCTCCATCACATCATCTTGGAAAGAATGGTGTTCACATTCCTGTGACAAATGGAAAATAGTTTTGCAGGCTACACCACAATCTGCTAGCACTTTAATATGTTGTAAATGGTTTTAATCAGGGCTTTTTTGTAGAAAAAGCCCAGCAGGAACTCATTAGCATAATAGGCCACACCCAATAGCATAAACTCATTAGAATATTAGGCCACACCCTAACAGCACAACTCATTAGCATATTAGACCACACCCCATGTTACCAGAAGTGTGGTCATCCAGCCACACCTACCTTTTGCTTCTTATTCTGTTTACTTTGTTTATTGTCAAACGGGCTTTTTTTGTAGCAGGAACTTCTTTGCATGTTAGGCCACACACCCCTAATGTAGCCAATCCTAATGAGTTTCTGCTGTTGGGTGTGGCCTATTATGCTAATGAGTTCCTGCTGGGCGGGGCCAACTTGGGAGCCAGCCGGAACTCCATTCCTGTGCGTTCCTGCCCAAAAATAGCCGTGGTTTTAATGAATTGTCTGTGAACTGTTCGAAGGATTATTTTTAGATGTTTATATTTATTGTTATTGTGCTTTTATCATGTGAACCGCCCTGAGCCTGCTATGGCGGGGAGGGTGGGGTACAAATCTAAATAAATAAATAAATAAATAATCTAATTCAGGTCCTAATATTTTGCCCCATTTAAACAACAGGTCTGCACAGCTGCCAAAGCCTGTCTGTATTCTGTTAGCTGTCTTCCACACTTTATGTGGTAAGTCAAATCCTGTGGGCCTCTCATTGGTGTTTATCATGTTATGGATATCGGGTGGAACTGATTGTATCCATGTTCGCAACCATTAATTCCCTAGATCGAGATTTTGTGATGGCAGGATTTGTGCAGATCTTATTGCTGGATGTCAGGATCTTAGTCTGGATAGGCCCATGTCAGCCATGTCTTTGTGGATGGGCAATTCTCTGTTTTCAATTATCTTTCTATATCACAAAGAACAGCATCTTGTCTTTGGAGATGTGGGGGAGCGACATTTTTATTTATTTATTTATCATTCGACTTGATATACCGCCCTAACCCCCGTAGGGGTCTCTGGGCGGTTTACAATTCTTGGGTGCTAGTCACCTATATCAACCCTAACTACGGCCACTTTTCCCGGCTCGGCTTCTTCTTTCGGCTGTGAGATGTCCGAGTGCTTAGGCAGACAGGTGGATGGATGGATCACCGGCGACGTTGTCCTCAGCCCGACTGTGTCCTTCCGGCTCCGTGCGCCTCCGGATGACGTCATTGCGCCTCCATCCTCCGTCGATGACAGCTGCCCTGCTCTTCCGCTGCTGGCCACCAGGGATCAGTCCCCTTCTGGCTCTGCTGCCGCCGCTTGCCACCTTCAGCGTTACACCGCCTCCTCTTCCAATCGTCTGCCGCTGCTGCTCCGCTGTAGCCGCCGTTCTCGCCGTCGCCGTTGCCGCCGCCGCCACTCCACACACACCTCCATGGGAGGAGGAGGGTGCCCCCCACCCTACTAAGGGTGGGTACCCATTTATCTACTCGCCGATAGGTAGTTACTTGGCTTTCAAACCGCTGGGTGGGCGGGAGCTAGGACTTAAGGGTCGAGAGCTCACCTCGACCACGGTGGGACTCGAACAGGTGCTCGAGTTGATGTTAATGCAGGCGTTATACTGCCTGCGCCACCATGGCACAACATGGGTAGCCAATAGGTCAGAGTGGGTTTAATACATCTGCTGATGGTTCTCATTGCTGTATTGGGTTGGACATCAAGTTTGTGGACATAGGGGCTGTTGAGCCACACATATTCCGCAGTACTATACACCAACCCCAAAGCTGAGCATCTAAGTAGTAGACGCACCCCAAGTTGTACCACATAATTTTTGGAGAATGTTGTTTTGTGTGTGTCTTTTTGCTGCTACACTGGTATGATGGTGTTTATAGTTCAAGGTCCTGTCCAGGGTAATGCCAAGGTACTTAGGTGTATGGTTGTGTGTAAGTCGGGTGCCATTAAGGTGGACATTCAGTTCACATTTGGCAAGATTGTTTTTGAGACAGAAACAGGAACATTATGTTTTTCCTGGACTTGGGATAAGCCACCATTTACAGTAGTAGTCAGCCAAAATTTTGAGGTCCAGTTCCATGATCCTGCATCTATTCAGAATATTAGAATGCACTAAATTACAGGATTCAGACACAAGACAGGAAAATCAGTACTAAGCAATTATAGTCACAAAACTGTCTTAATATTAAAAGGCTAGTAATACAGCAGGATTTATAGCTTGAAAAAGAAATGTTCCTGCTGGGATAATAAAGCGAGAATTATCAGTCTGAGTTTGGGGACACAGCTTTTATACAGCTGTAACATCTGTGATCCATGTATATTTTAACTTTACATTTCCATTCAAAATAAAATTTCCAGCATCAGTTAGAGATGATTCTGCTTATAAAACTATCCACATATGATGTCACTGTCAAATATTGTATTACTAGTGAATGCTCTATAGTAAATACCACTATAAGAAAGAGAGACAAGCAGCAAAAGACCAATAAACATATGATGCATAGTGATACATACTAACATTTGGGCTGATTCCGCACAATCACTTGCTCCGGTGTCACCCCCCGATAATATCCACGGAAATTGATCAGTTCCCCACATATTAGTCCGGGTATGCAATTGACCCGAATCCAATGGCATTTCCCCCCGGATTTTCCGTCTCCGCTATTTTCAGGTTCTTTTTTTTTTTTTGCTGCGGTGTTGAAGTTGCGGCATTTCAGTGGGGAACTTGTGATTCGCTGCTGTCCCCTCTCCACCCCTTTAACGCCCCTTTGCTTCTTTCCCTCCCCTTCACTCCCATTCCCGCCTATCAACACCTCTTCAATGCTCTCCTGCTTCTCTCCCCCCCTCCTTCCTGCCTGCCTGCAAATCCCCCCTTCAGCATGCGCATGATTTTTTTTTTTAATTTCCCTTCCCATGTTGCATGGCAATGCAACAATGGGCCATCATTGACCGGCATTTAAATGTCCTTTTATATGTCCATATGCTGTTTTCTCATTTCTGTTTAGCAATTCGCCATGTGTAAAGGTTTAAGCATTCTTTTGCATGTTTGTATACTGTCTTCCCATCTGCCCCCTCCCCCACTTCCCGGCTCCATCCCTCCCCCCCTTCCTTGGTGCATGCGTGCTTTTTTCCCTCCAGCATTGCTTTACAATGCAATAATAGCCTATCGTTTACTGGACGCAACAATGGGCAATTGTCGACCGGCGTTTAAATATCCTTTAACATGTCCGTATGCTGTTTTCTCATTTCTGTTTGGAATTCGCCATTTGTGTAAAGCTTTAAGCATTCTTTTTCATGTTCGTATACTGACTTCCCATCCGCCCCCCCCCCTTCCCAGCTGCATCAATGGATGCTTTTCGTGGACATCGAGGGACCAATTGGTGTTTCAGTGGGCGGTGCATTACAATGCAACCCCGCCTCCATTCAAAAAAAGGAGGGAGAAGACAAGGGAGGGGACTCTAGATTCAGGGCAAGGCGACATGTGGAAATGAACACCCAGGCAAAACCCAGGTCAGATTTTTGTAATGCAGAAATGCGCGCATAGAATCCGGACAATTAGACCTGGGGGGAAAGGGGGGCAAAGTATTAGTGTGAAATCAGCCTTGCTAAAAATAATCTAACAGGCATTTTTCATTTTTCAACCATTGCAGAGATCTAAACCTTGCTTTACTTCATTACCCACTAGCAGTATCTCCTTTTCTCCCTTTCTCACAATACAAGAACTCGTGGGCACTCCATGAAACTGCTGAGCGGTCGGGTTAGAACGGATAAAAGGAAGTACTTCTTCACCCAAAGAGTGATTAACACATGGAATTCACTGCCACAGGAGGTGGTGATGGCTACAAGCATGGACGGCTTCAAAAGGGAATTAGATAAGCATATGGAGCAGAGGTCCATCAGTGGCTATTAGCCACAAGGTATAGATAGGGGCTCTGGGGCAAGTGATGCTCTGCCTTCTTGGTGCTTGGGGGGGGTCAACAGTGGGAGAGCTTCTAATGTCCTGGCCCACTGGTGGACCTCCTGATGGCACTGGTATTTCTGGCCACTGTGTGACACAGAGTGTTGGACGGGATGGGCCTTTGGCCTGATCCAACTTTGGCGTCTCTTATGTTCTTATGTTCTTATGATACCATTCTTTGATATTGTTGTTTTATTAGTGATTGGCTAATTACTTTTTGTCGCAATCACTAACATCAACTTGGACAACGTCTTGTTAAACAATGTATTATTTTCCATAGTGACAAGCCCTTTGGTTAAGAATCAATTACATACATCACCAAGGAGTTAATCAAAATGATTTTTTCCAAGGGAATATTTCTACTTTAGTCATGATTTATCTTTCTTTGTATTGAACTTGTCAGCTTTGTCCATAGAAAATAAAATGGACTTTCTCTTAAAATGTAACCCATGTAAGGTAATGGAATTAAACTAATTTTGCATATTCAACCAGACAAAACCCTTATCTGAGCAGCTTGCAAATTACATTAAAACCGAAAGTATTGTTTCTCCACCCTCTCCCCAATTCCTGGAAATTAATTTCAGAGACAGCTGATAATTTTAATTGCTCTCTAGGTTAGCCAACAAGGAACAGCTCAAGGAAACCTTAAGAACAGGGAGTTGGGAAACCTTAATTATGGGACCACCTGCTCCCATATGAACCTACCTGTCCACTCCATCATCTTTGGAGACCTTGCCGTCTGAGGCTAAATGGGTGGCAACCCAAAAAAGGGCCTTCTAAGTCATGGCACAGAAATTTTGGAACTCCCTCCCCAGGGAGATTTATCTGTCTTCTTATTTAGTTGTCTTCCACCAGCAGGTGAAGACTTTTTTGTTTGGTTTGGCGTTCTCACACTAACTGTTATTGGCCCTTCTTCCCGGTTGTGTTATGTACATTTGTGTTTATATGTTTTACTGAATTATTTTACGTATGCTTCATTTTAGATGCTGTTTTAACATCTCAAATATTTTAATGTTGAAATGTTTTGGTGTTATGCCATCTTGTTGACCATGTTTGGGTAGAGAGGTGGCAGAGAAATATTTTAAATAAACTAACTAGGGAGCAACTTGACTCAGTTGACTCAGTTGATGGGGAAAATCAGCTGGGAGTTGTGCCCTTATCTACCACATCAAAATAAGTGTGTGGGGAGCATGAGAAGAAGCAGACTCAGAGCTGACCACCACCCCCAAACAAAACAGCTACTCCATGGCTGCAAAATGGAGCTCTTCCCTCCTGTCCAAGCTCGGCAAGGACAGAAGCAAAGTTTCTGATCGGTGGCCCCTGGCACACGGGACGGCTGAAACGCGGCTACTCAGAGACGCTCCAAACTTGAGACGCCGCGATGGGATCCCACGGATCCCCTAGCCGCGGCGCATCGCTCCCCGGCACGATCAGATGCCGGGGAGGAAAAGTCCGAGGGGAGGGGGGAGGCTGCCGAACTGCGCATGCTCGGGCATGCGCAGTACGGCCGGGGGCCGGGATGCGGCGGCGCAAGGACGCGCCACCGATCCCACAGCCCGGCCTGAGCCGCACCAATGGATGCAACCACCTAGAGAGGTGGTTCTTTTTTACGGCGCAGTATGGGCTGTTGGGACGGATCAGGGACGGAGACGGCACGCTCCCCAGATGTTGAGGTGAGATCGCGCCTGTTTGCTCCGCCCCAGTTCCGTCCCGCTCCCGGCCCAAATGGGCTCGTATGAACAGGGCCTCCGTATTGCAAAAAGGAGAAAAAGAGCTCAGATAGAAAGACCTCAGTTCTCCCACCACCCCCAACCTCGGTGGGAACAGATGCCATGCTCCTAATCTCTGCACTTCAAGAGACAGGGCTTGTTTCTTTCCCCCTTCTCAAAGCTGGCTGGGGACAGATGTGATGCTATTAATCAGTGTACTGCAAGACTGAGAAGAGTAAGAGCATAGGGTTGCCAGCTTCCAGGTGGTGGCTGCAGATCTCATGGGATTACAACTGATTTCCAGGTGACAGAGATAAGTTCACCTGAAGAAAATGGACACTTTATAAGGTGGACCCTATGGCATTATACCTCACTGAAGATCCTCCCCTCCCCATACCCTGCTCTCCTCAGGCTCCGGTCCCAAAATCTCCAGGTATTTCCCAATCGAGAGCTCACAACCCTAGTGAAGAGCTAGTTTCTCTCCTTTTCTCTCTCATTAAGCAAAGCTTCCAGGATGGGATATCAGAAGAACCTGACTTCCAGGTGATCAGCTGAGAGTCAGCTCCTGATTCCTCCCCACCCCCCCAAAAAAAGTTTGCTGGGTACAGAGTAAAATTTCTCCAGGAGGAGATCAAAAGCCAACTCTCTGTTGATCTCTCATCATCTTGGAGTCAGCTTCTAATGGCTGCAAATAGCTTGTTCCTGTTCCTGCAAATATATATGAAAAGGTTGCAAGCAGCCAAACAGGACGTTGATTAATTTGCTGCCTGATCACCACTAGCAAACAGAAGTGAGTCAAACTAGCAGGTCTTCCAGCATCCCTAATCCAAACTAGCACCTGAGCCAAATTAGGCTTTATATACTCTCACTACAACCTTCTCATAATCTATGTGACTAATAGTAGCACTGATTCAAGCCCTGGAACCAGGAAAGTGGGCTTTTGGAGAGTAAATAAAAGGGTGTGCTGAAGGTTTAGTTCCAATAGGTTGTTGAGCTTGGGACATTTTCACAGACTATTCGCACAGTTCTGTCAGAACTCTTAGCATTAAAGGGTTTGAATAATAGATAATATTTTGAAGATAATTGGGGGAGAGGAATGGTCATAGAAAAACCAATCACAGAAGGAATAACTGCAGTGTTCTCCAGTCATTTTTATACAACAAGCTGTGTAAGTGAAAAGGGAGAAATTACATCCAATTCTTGCACTAATCGGGGGGGGGGGGGGGGGGGGGGGATAGCAAAACATTCCAGAACACTTCTGGTGGTTCTTCTACTTTTCCTTTTCCAGTTTACAGATAATAGCGCAGATACAACACCTCATTAGCACATCCACCCTCCATTGTGCCAGCACACTCCCATTTCTCTGCGGTTTTCTCTAAACACCATCAATAACTGCCAATTTGCCACTATGGCATACAATACAATACACTTATATAATACCTCTTCGAATGCTCCTCCTTAATTTGTTGCAAAGCTCAATACGTGGATTCTCTGAATTTTCTTCTGTGAAACCTGGACTTTGTTCTGGAGATGAAGGACCTTTGCTAAGATCCAGTGGTACTTTAGAAGATGTAGGTGGTGGTGATGTGGCAGGGCTGTATGTTGAGGTAGGACTACTAGCAAGGGAAGAAGTGGATAGATCTAATGCTCCTAATCGTGAATTCAGTGGAGAACTTAATGACAGTTTTCTGGTTGTGACAGGAGAGGACGTTCTAGAAAGTGACAGAGGTGGAGGAGAAGAGAATTTGCGGCAGAGATGTGGTGATTTTGCATCAGCCAGATGTTCTCCTCTGCTGTTTTGATTAGTAGCAAAAAACAACTCCAAAGAGCTAAAAACAAAACAAAAGAGAAGTAAATAAGTAAACAAAAAAGTATGTAAAAACTGCCACAAGTAAGTATATAAAGGTATAATATTAGACAAAAGTCCAAAATAGTATATCATTAATGAAATTATTATGGTTGTGCCACATGTATCACGAAAACCTGCAGTGACTTATCTGGGCCCCAGTAGCTACCAATAAAACAACAGGGTGAGACCCAGACTGAGCCAGTGTTTTTACAATTTTCAGAATGAGACTGAGCAAAAGCAATGTTGGAACAAAGAGTTCTTTGCCATCACTACCACTACTGAATGGACATTCAAATACATTCTGTTCTGTGAGGTCAAATTCACTGAGAGTGTTTCTTCCTTTGTGGTTCAGCCTTCACCCTAGCTGCCACGTTTCCTGTGCTTCTATTGTACACTAAAGAACAGATTAGTTCTGGCTTGACTAAAAAGAATTATCAACCACAAAGTTATCTCCATGTTGTAGTTCAAAACCCTTACAGTAGAACAGCTGAGCAACTCAGTTAATCATTCTCCTGGAAACATCTGGAATCACAACTTTGATGGGATGGTTCATTCTGCCTGACCAGACATCCCTTTAGAGGTTATAGGATACTACAAAGGCAGTGATTCATCCATGTCATCATGGATCAACCCCACGTTCTTGAGTATAAGACATCAGATCCCAGCACGTGACCTGCTACACTGCCATGTTCCACAATGACCTCTAAGGAGGACATAGGTCTTCAGTTTTATTGTAAAAAATAAGGGTTTTATGAAGCTTTTATTGAGGGCCTTGTGCCAAAATATGGTATACAAATTTACAAATAATTACGATATATACATATTGGAAGGTGATAAAAGGATAACTATTATGACAGTGGTCTTATGAGACAACAAGAATAGAAAAAAGCAAAACTCACCGAACAGGGATTGAGCTCAAAGGCCTTTTGTATATGTCTGAAAGTTTCTCTAGTACAACTGCAGCAGTAGTAAATATGCGATAAGTATGTAGGAAAGTATTAAGAAAATCAATACTGAGAAATCGCAAGTCGGTTAATCTCTCCAAAAGGCGTTCTACACTTGCATAACGAATCTGGGGCACTTTGCAGGAATTTAATGTTTTGCTGAAGCAAATGTCAACGTCATCTCTGTGAAGGCGAGCATCAGATCTACGTAACATATTATTTTAAAACAGTTATTAAAAGGGTACTTTCAAAGGAATACTCATATGTAAAATTATACACAGGTTGTTTCTATCTGCGCCTACATAAAATGTGTTATCTATTATATCAACTGGGAACTGAGACTTTACAAACAAATTCATCACATCCTAGGTAAGTGGGCACTGGGCAAAGCCACTTGGCAGAAAGTTTTACTAATCTTCCCAGAACCCTTGTTGACTTCATAATAATGAATACAATAGCCCACTGAATCTTGAACCTCCTCTGCCTCCACTACCATCCCTCATCATTATAGTTGCTCTGCTCGGGGGACATGGTCATAACAAAGATAGCAATGCAATGCAATGCAATAGTCCATCCATTAAACCGATATGTTTATAAAAATAGATGGCCAACAGATAGGTTGCAGGGAAGTGATCATACAGAGTTCACAAAAACAAGATCCTGGACTGAGATCTTCAAGAATCAGAAGTGAACTTGGACTCACAAAAGCTTATTCTAGAATACATTTTCTTAGCTTCTAAGGTGCCACTGGACTCCTGTTTAGTTCTCAAACAAGTATTCAGAATTATTGAGAATCAAAATAGCAGACAAAACAGACACAGAAATGATGCAGCATTTCCTTATGAAATATGGCACTTGTAATCCAACTTCGAGGTTTTATTGATCCCTCAGTTCTTCATCTGAAGGAGCCTTTAAGAAGACAGTGCAATCCTAAGAATACTTTCCAGAAAGTAAGTCCCATTGAATAGCTCTTAGGATTCTAATAAACCTATTTAGGAGTGTTCTAAACCTGCATGATAAGTTATCATACTTACTTGATCATATGTGGCACAGTTACTTTGGAGTTTTCTTCAAATACTATGGTCATTAAACCATTGCACCGTATATTGTCAATGCACTGCATAAAGAAAACCCTATGTTACTGTCTTTTTCTTTTTATATTTGTAAGATATTTAATAAAAAGAAAAAGAAAAAAAATCAATTAAAATTCAGGCAACAAAAACAGCATTGTTTTCTTTCTCAAGTACTGTAAACCTCACAGTAATACAACAGTTGGACCAAATTTGTGAAATTTACCTAGGACATAAAAAATAGAACAGAGTGAATGAGTTGAAATGTTCAATTTGTGCACATAATAGATTCAAATTACCAAAGCCACAACAATTTTCTATAACATTTTTAGATATGTTTCGAGGACTTTTTGAACCAGCTTTAGGAGCCTTTCTATAGTATCCTTGGAGAGTTGCCAGGAAGACCCAAGATGTTTCCCAATGAGTTTATAGGCTGGGCAGGAAACAATGCCTCTATCTCAATTCAGGAGTCATAAGCAAACTAGAGTGTGCTCATGACCAGCACAACTGATCAACTATCAGGCTCCCATTCCAGCCCGCTTCTTCCTCCTTCCCCATCCTGGTATGCCAAGATCAGAGGTCTTCAATTAATGCGTCTGTTGTGGTGTACTAATGTGGGCAATTAAACCCACTACTTGGAATATTTCTTTCCCAGTAATCAGGCTTCTTAAGAACAGTTTAACCATAGGGATGTAATAACAACAGCCAATTGTTTTTTTATCTATATGTTAAATGAACAAGTTCTATGTTTATTTAGGAGCTGTGGTGGCTCAAGTGGTTAAGACCCTGAACTGCCGACCAGAAGGTCGGTAGTTCAGCAGTTCGAGACCCAAGTGCCGCATGATGGAGTGAGCTCCTGTCTGGTCCCAGCTCCTGCCAACCTAGCAGTTCGAAAGCAAGAAATTGCAAGTAGATAAATAGGTGCCACTTCGCTGGGAAGGTAACAGTGTTCCGTGTGCCTCGGCGTCTAGTCATGCCGGCCACATGACCACAGAAATGTTTTGGGAAAGTGCTGGCTCTTCGGCTTGGAAACGGAGATGAGCACTGCATCCCTAGTCAGATTCGACTGGCTTTCGAACAAGGGAAACCTTTACCTTACCCTATCTTTACTTACATAATAAATACATTTTGTTACAGAGTATTGTAACTATATGCCTTGAGGCTATCTTGTCAAATATCTGCAACATGTGATGACAATCACTGGTGTTTTTTTTAAGTGGAAAAATAACTTTGAAAAATGTCTTTGATACAGAGTAATAGTCATACACTTAAACAGTGGTTCAGTTTTCTACTTTTTATTATTCATAAAAGCTTTGAGAGAATCCATCTTTAAGTTTCTTTTGCATCATATTTGACATGGGTGAAAGGAGACCTACATGGCCTGAAAGAGATTTGCTTTATAATTTCAGCCCATCAATTAATTGGAAGCAAATTTTAATCTGTGATTATAGCTTTAGTGGATTAATATACCAATTAAATATATTAAATGCTGGAATCTTAATCATATTACCAATGTAGGGGGGGAAATCAATGTCCTTTTCCTTCGCTTTTGGTATAATTTACTGACAACTACTGAGGTCAATGGAATTGTTCTGGGATAAGATGTATAGAGCTTGTAATCTTTGCTACAAAACCGTATTAATGTCAGTATATGATTTTGTACATAACAGCAGTTTTTCATGCAATCTGGATGCTGTTATCATGAATGTAGATTACATACAATGAGCTGTCAATGTTAACACTCCTACCCAAACTTCTTTATTTTCTGAAACTGCATTTGTTGTTGTTGTTAAAGTCACCCCAGTGAATCAATGCATTTAAGACATGCTAATTTTATCTGCCCGCTAAAGGTCCTAGAAACCATATACTTTGCCTCCTCCCATTTTTTTCAATTTTCATTTTATTGAAATGTATTGGAAATTGTTTCCGTGCACAGAAGTAGAGGTGTAATTGTACCAATTCTGCCTGAAAATTTGAAAAGTCTGAGTATGCAGTTTGGAGAGGAAGAAGTATGAGACAACTGTGCAGATGATTACAGGGTAAAAAAGATATAAAATTCAAGATAAGACACAAGACAGAATTCAAAGAACACAATGAACTTTGGACACTCAAAGAAGCTTTTGGATTACTTTTCTTGAACATCAGTCCCTCTGTTACATGGCACAACTTTTGAAATGGAGAAAAGTCTCAAAACAATTTATGAAATTATTTATTTATTAAACCGCCACACTACATTCTTGGTAGAAGCCTTCAAGTATCGTACAACATAATTCAGTACAGCATTTAAAAATTAAACTATGTAGAGATACTGGCCTATGGTCTCATATTCCATACAGCAAAGTCCAAAGTCCTTCTCCAGCTTAAGGGGTTCTTCCACCAGAGGAAGAGCCATGTAAATTGGAAGAAGACTTCTTAGGCTAAAGAAAGACTTGAAACTTTGGTGAACACAGTGGTACAAGATGTTATATTTCTTACATATTACTTTTAAACACAGAATAAATAAAACATACTACATGTTTTTATTATTAAAAAATCAAGTTACCTGACTAATGTCACTTGTCCACGCTGCTTTTTCCTGCCGTGAAGGGGCTAACAGTACAACAGTGAAAGGAGGAGCATCAGGTGGTTCTACCACGATCTTGAAATCAAGATGTCCAAACACTTGCCCGGAACCTTTTGCTGTACAATTGGGGCAAGGGGGGGGGATCAACCTGTTACAAACTGAACCTCAGACCTCAGAGAAATTAATTCACAATTGAGAAGTTATTTTTCTTGCAGAGAATGGTCAGAATCCAAAGACCTACTTCAGCTCAGTGGAATTTTCTATTTTCCCTTGAAAAATAGACTCCATATAAGCAGAGATTGCCTTTTCAAATTCCCCTGAGCTTAAAAAGCAGTTTACAGTGTAGCACAACAGGCCACTTGTTTAAAAAAGCCATTTAAAGGTACCAAATCAGTTCTTTGGATCCTGGTTTGTAGGTTCCCCAGTATGACAGTTTGCAGAGTTCTAAAGTGGGCATGGAACTTCATACAAGAGAACCTCATTCACTTTAATGTTTAAGAAAACTCTGTGCATACACTCCCACTGTCTACAGAAAGCTCTCTCTGTCACTGAAGTGACTGAATGAGCCCACCATTCATGGGAAGCTTCCTCTGCACAGCTTCCCAATGTGATCATTGGTATCATTTTATTTATTTCATTCCATTTATATCCCGCCCTCCCCGCACGCAGGCTCAGGGCGGCTTACAGGCACAAAGTGCGATAAAAACAAACAGATTAAAACAACAAAAGCTAAAATTTGGTATCTATATACTATGGGCAGTTAACAAAATCTACTGTGTTTAATTGTCTTGCACCCTTGAACATAGAAGTAACACTCAGCCAACATATTATATTCTCTGATATTTGCAGAGCCCTGGATTATACTCATGGTCATTAATACATACACAAATTAATGAAAAATCCAGGATGCACAATTCCATCCTTACTGTGCCTCTGTAATTTATAAAATGATGAAAGATCCCACTAATCCAGACTTCCAATTGCTAACTATTCAGATGAGGCAAGTTAGTAATTGCCCCAGCAAAGCTCAGTGTTTTTGCTGTGATGATACACTACTAGCTCTTTAATGTTAACTGCTATAGCACAACTCTGCAGTAAAAATGGTGACGGAATAATAGAAGCAGGACAAGCAGAATCTGGCATTTGTGACCACAACTTGAGTCATAATTATTCAACAAAATTATTCATACACTTCTAGACAAGCAAGTCTACAGATAAAGAAAAAGAAGTTTTAATAAGTCTTTTTATCTTGGGTGTTAATTTCATATCAAGATGCAGAATGAAAAACTGTAGTCAGGAGAGCACTTTAAGACCTTGTGATTTCTGTGAGAAGTTAATCATATGCTTTGCTCTTCCACTGAAATCACTGGGGTGTCAAATAGTTTAATTTTGATTACACCAAGTGCACTGTATTTAACTTCAGAAGTCACTTGCTTGAAAGTTGGTGGGAGTGCCCAGTCATACATGCATTCTGGGAAGAGGTTCTGGGAATTATAAGTGATATTACATCGCTAGAACTACCAGCTTGTCCCAAACTGGTGCTCTTTGACAGATTGGAGGCAGTCACGGCAACTAGGGCCCAGAAAGAGCTTATATCAAAACTTTTGACAGCAGCTTGTCTAACCATAGCGGCTGGATGGAAAGCCAGCTCTCCTCCCCAGATACAAACATGGTACGACAAAACATGGGATCTATTCAGAGGTCATTTCGGGGGGGATCGCAGTTCCCCCGGGTGAGGTACGGGGGGTGGGGCACATGACGAAGCCCCGCCCCCTGCTTCCGGCCGCCCTGCTTCTGGCCCTCATTCAGCCAGGAGGAGGCAGGAGAAGAGGGAGGGTAAGTTGCTTCCTCCCTGCCTCTCCCCACCCCTGCCTGCCTGGGGCCAGGGAGGGCCTTCGCAGGGCTTCCTTGCACTCCCACTGGCCTCGCAGGTCCACCGCCAGGCCCCTCATGGGGCTCGGCAGTGGAGCTGCAAGGCCGGCAGCGGCCGGTACCGTTGGGGGTGGGGTGTGTGGCCTTATGACACACTTCCGGTGATGTCAGGGGGTGTGGCCTTATGACACACTTCTGGTGATGTCAGGGGGTGTGGCCTTATGACACACTTCTGGTGATGTCAGGGGGTGTGGCATATGCTAATGAGTTATGCTAATGAGTTCCCCTAGCTCTTTTTCTACAAAACTACCCCTGGATCTATTTATCTTAGATAAGCTGACACAGATCACTCAAGTTACAGCAGCAGACACATCAAAGGCATACGGGCGATTTGTTGCAGTCTGGTATACAGTGCTTCAATATATGTCAGAAAAGAACATACTCCCTTCAAAGTCCGCTTATGTTCCATGGATACGCTTTTAGTTTATTGCTAACGAAGATCACAGTACATAAGCTTGATCACCATTATGGAAGCTGGTTTTGTTGCTTTGTTCACTAGTTCGTAGATTAGAGGGTTGCAAGAAAGGCAAACTTGTTGGGATTAGAGGGGTTTATAAGATTTTGTTTGGTTTACCACTCACTGTAACGATAGAGTTTTATGACTTGTATGTAAATGCTGTTATGCTACTTTGCTCTGTTTAATTAAAAAAATGTTTTTTAAAAAAGAAAGAGTCAAACATGGTATCATGAAACATGTGCCCAAGGCCTTGGTTGTCAAACTGTGGTGAACAGGATTGGGCCCAATTGTTTGAGACTCTCTTCACCAAATCCTATAAAAAAAGGAGCTGTGTAAGGGAGTAGTCCTGATCATTTCATTCAGACTTGTGCCAGAGAATTTTTTTGTGGGCTATGCCAATTTTTTATTAACCAGAAACAGGGGTCTTGTTGTAGAAAAAGAGCTGCCGGAGCTCATTAGCATAACTCATTGAAACATGTGCCCAAGGCCTTGGTTGTCAAACTGTGGTGAACAGGATTGGGCCCAATTGTTTGAGACTCTCTTCACCAAATCCTATAAAAAAAGGAGCTGTGTAAGGGAGTAGTCCTGATCATTTCATTCAGACTTGTGCCAGAGAATTTTTTTGTGGGCTATGCCAATTTTTTATTAACCAGAAACATAATATTTTAAAATATATATATAAACATTATAACTGTATTAGACTTTTTGCTGTAACTTACAGTCATCATCATTCATATCAGTTTCCTCAATTAGTGTGCATTCTATTAACGAGAGAACACCTCCTGCCTAGAGAAATAAATCATATTTTTTCATAAATTCCCCCTTTCTCCCACTTTAAATCTGCAAAATTATACTTTAACATTACAAGGCTTCCAACAGCTAAATATGTTTCTAAGAATCATTAGTGCTAGAAAATGAAAACAATATTAACCTGCATGTGTTTCTTTTTCCAATTAAAATAACCCTCTAAGCTGAGCACAAATGAAATTCATTTTATTGATAAAATTAATAACACAGCACGTTCATCCACTGTAGTAAAGAAACTGATTATTAATGATATTTAAATAAAATAAACAGGATACCAAAACTTAAAACTGTAGACCTGATTCGTGCAGAACTATTTTTTTAGATGCATTGAATACATTTAGTCTGTAATCTATCTAAAAGTTTAATTCAGAAAGACCTTGCAGTGGGAGTTGGGGGACAATGACAACACATGATGTCCAGGGGAAAACAAGAAGTCACGTCACACTTCTCTCGAAATCATCAGAAACTTAACAGTAAAACCATAGACTTTCTGGTGATTCCTACAGAGGCATGGTGTCACTTCTGTGTTTTCCCTGGAAGTGATGTAATGCTATTGAGCTGACAGTGATTTTTAAATTTATTTTTCTCCCACCAGCCAATGGAACTGTGGCAGGCAGCAGGGGTTGCCAGTTGGAGGTCTCCCACCCTAGGTGACCCAGCAAACCTGTCTTACAGTGTATATTAGAAAATTCTATACTCTAAATAGCATCATATGCATTACATTAAACATAAATAAGACACACCAAAATTATTCTGAAGAACAATTTGCTGAAATACCAATTAAAACTTTATGGAAGTCAAAGTATATAAAGTCTACCAAATCACCCTTGTCCACATGTTTCTTAACACCCTTTCAAAGAACTCAAAAAGGTTGATGAGACAGGACTTTGCTTTACAGAAAATACACTTTGCTCAGTAGATCTTGCTGTTCCCATTTCCAGACTGCAAAAGTGAAATAATACCAGAGTTCCTGGGTAGTTTCTACATAATCCATTCATTTGTTTATGCTTTTAAGATGAAGGCCATACAGATAAATTATGTATAGAACATTTTGTCCAAGGCTGACTGAAGAAAATGATTTATAGTGCAATCCTATGCACAATTAATTCAGTCTAAGGCCTGTGATTTAAAATTTAGATGGGAATATCTCTGCATAGGATCACAGAGTGCTCTCTTTCATATCTATGATTTTTTTCAAAAGTGTCTTCCAAACAGAGGTATGTATGTATGTATGAAAGGCAGTAATCTGACTGTTGGCTTCCTAAGAAAAAGCCGAATTTAAATAAAAATTGAAAACCATAATGGGGAAAATAAGTAAAAGAGAAATGTAGACAGAATACATTTCTTTTCCTGAGGCTCAGCAGTAATTTTCCTGCAATAAATGTACTCTGTATAATTTAGCTGACCAATTCTCATTTTTAATTACAAAAAAAATGAATTACACTCCATTAATTGCGTATCATTCTGAATCTGTATCTGAATATATTAAGAGAGAATGTTTCCAGTCAGTTGTGCATTGCCTCAGTGGATCAATTCATTGCAACCTTCCTGTTAAAATTATACTACCATGCAATAATGAAATCTCATGTCTGCTGTAAAGACAACATAATTAGGAATTGTCTGTTCTACATTTCACTATATTGGTTTTAAGTGAGATATTTGTGAAAATGTTGTACCTTAAGCAGGTGCAGCTTTCCTCCAGAGCTCCTTGTACAAATTAAAAAGTGTTTTGTAAATAAAAAACATTGTCTTTCACCTTCTTTTTTCAAAGACAATGATCCCAGACGAACTTTACTAAGTTTTCCCCTCTCAACTGAAGGGACCTGAATAAGAGTACCTGGTGATTAAAAAAGCAAATAGCACATCATAAATATATAATTGATAAGTGATGTTCTTAAATTCTGTATCCTGTGATCTATTTGACATTGTCTGTATATCTTACAGATCATATACCAATTTTAAATGTCAAGCCAAAACACATTTATTTCAGTGAAGTGTTTCACTGTAATCCAGCACAAAGATTATTATAAAGATTGAACTATAGTTCTCTGAGTCAACGGCTGAGTGAAACCCTTTTAAGCCCACCAACGTCAATGGATTTATAAGGGCATAACTCTGCTTTGGACGGCACTGTTCAAGTCTTTAGATTTTTCACACAAAGCTTATTTATACTAAATATATATGGGTAGGGTTACCAGCTTTGGGTTGGCAAATACCTAGAGATTTTGGGAGTGGAGCTTGAGGAAGGTGGGGTTTAGGGAGGTACTTCAATGGGGTATAATGCCATAGAGTCCACCTTCCACAGTGGCCATTTTCTCCAGGTGAACTGTATTCTGTTGCCTCAGATCAGTTGTAAGAGTGGAAAATATCTAGGTACCACCTGGAAGTTGGCTACCATATAGATTGGGTATGAGTATGATGTAAAGAGCAGTTTTGAGTGTGTGTTCATTGCTGTTCTCTAGGAGAAAAGTTACTTCTGAAAGTCAAAGGGCCCTCTGGAGCATTTTTTCTACATGGAAATGATTTTCCACGTAGATCTCATTATCACTATTTTTCACTGCGATTTCCTTGCCTCAGCCTTTAGGCTACCAGAGTGCATTTTCCAGACTTTTAAAAAATGGTAATAACTAGATCTCTTCAGAATTATAACTATCTACTGCAACAGTGTACTAATTCTCAGCTTTATTTTTAAGAAGTAAGCTTCCGTATTTGCAGCATTTTAAATAGAAATTTGTAGTTAGAGCCTTTCTTCTTCTAAAGCCACAACAAAAAGGGCTAGATTTAGTTTTGTTTTTCTTGTTTGTAATGCAATTGCTGCTGCTGTTTTGGAGAAAGGTAAAGGAGCACAGAATAGCTTGGAATGGGTTGAAATTATTAAGTGTTTAGCTGAAGTTAAGAGGAAATTTGGTAAAGAACATTATTTCTTATTGATTTTTCCCCCTCAAACAATTTTTATTCTTTTTTAAAAGGAATACAGAATTCAACATTATAATACACAAATATAGGTTGCTTCACTTAGAGAAAAAAAAGAATACTATAACAACTTACATTCTTTCAGAATACAGAATACAAAGTGATAAACTTATAACTTGTCATCTGTAAATCATTATTTTATATCTAGCTTTATTGATGCTTTCCCAATTAAAGTTATCAAAGGTTATTTTTTCTATCATGGGAACCCATTTTTCTAAGGGATTATATATTTCACATTCATTCTGGTCGTTTGAGTTATATATAGATATTGTTTCAAGCATGAAAAAGTCCCATATCTTGTGAAACCAAAATTCTATGCTAGGAGAATGATTGTCTTTCCAGCATTTGGTTATAGTAACCTTGGCAGCTGTTAATTATTAATTATTAATTATCGATGGTGGTGGTGGTGAGTAGTATCAGTATACAACATTGGTCTCTTCTTTGGACATAGATGTTAATCTGTACCAAGATATTTATTTCATTAGTAGCTTTTCTTCCTCCAAGAAGTTTAGAATGTAGGGCTTCCCCCGCCCCAAAGCAGGACATTTCCCCCCAGAGATTACATAGTAATAATCCTGGTTTAGCCACTGTATGTACACTGCAGAAAGCTGCTCTGAGGATAACTATATATGATACATGTGTTTTCAAACATACATTTGTAACATTCACAGTTCTAGACATACATCTAAAACATATAAATAAAAGTTTTATCCTATTTTATCTTTGCAACAACCAGCTGTCTATCAGAGAAACAAAATTAGGTTAGAGACTGTGACTTATCCCAGACCCCCAGTGAGTTTCATGGCCAAGTGGTACCTTGAATTCAGCTCTACCTGGTCTGTCTGATATTCCATCCACTGTAAAATATTCTGTAACTATAGTCATATGCATTATTTGCTTTGGGATAAATTTCTTTGAACTCAATGGAACACCTAAGTAAATATACTTAGGAGGTGGTGGTGGTGGTGGTGGTGGTAGTAGTAATAATAATAATAATAATAATAATAATAATAATAATAATAATAATAATAATAATAATAATAATAGTGGTGAAGTACATTCTGTGGATTCCACAGCCCTATTAACAATGTTAACTCAGGAACAAACATGACTTTTCCATAGCCTAAAACCAATATTTGGGTCACAGCATGAAACTAACAAAAATACTTAACACTAATAGGTACCTTTCCCTAAAATAAATATCAGGAAACTTAATGATTCCACCTGCACTGCTTATTATTTTAACAGCGCTTTGAAAATATGTGATGCCTTTGGTTTAGATGTTTCATTTTATTGTTAATAAAATATACCAAGAATTTTTATATTATAGTTTATTAATTGACAGATTTCTAGAAATAGGTACAAAACTGTTGGCAGGGTTTAAATATGCAAGACGTGAAGCACAAATTATTTAAAGCAAGATAAATTGGTTTATTAAAGAAGAACAAATTTTGAAAACAAACAAGGAGCCAATCAGGAGCCAATCAGGAGACAGGAAGGACATAATTTGAAATTGTGGGAAGTCCCTAATCTAGCTATGCTAGCTAGCAGTCCTTCAGCTGTTCTTCATATAGATGCACTATAGACCTTGGATATTCCAACAAAAACAAAGTCAATTATCCAAACAAACTGGCAAGTAAAAGCCATTTTAAACAAGAAGGCACCTGTGCAGGTGTTAATGTAGCACAATATCTAATTTAAATGGTTCCTTATCTGCGCACCATCTCTAGGCATGTAACAGGAAAACATCTTAAAAGACTGCAATGTTTCATATAAATGAATGGAATTACACATATATACTTTGCAAGAATAATTTTAACAGCCCATAGTCAATCAGCTGATGAAACTCCCCTGAGTTCTAAAAGTAGCTTGCTGTGTTTTGAATAGGCGCAAGAATTTAAGGGGGAGATTCAGTACAAAACTTTAGTAGTTGCATGAATATGCAGTTCTGTGGAAGATATCTAGGGGCTCACATAAAAATGCAGGCAGTGTTTACTGTTAAATTTCCAAAACATGTTAGAAAACAATTTACTACTTTAATCAAAAGTATAAAAACAGCCACAAATTAAAAATCTCAGTGATTTTCATATGAGAAAGTGGAATGAAATAGAATAAACAACTGAATACTTTGATCTGTTTTTACATTTTAAATTTAGATTAGATTCCATTTTTAGATTCTTCTAGCCATGGAAAATATTTATATCTAGAAGAATCTAAAAACCTGATGTTCATGCATATGCATTTCAGATATTTTTCTAACTTTTTGAGCGGCTGGCAGAAAACAAGAACAAAACAAAAAATACCCCTTTTTGATTTTGTATCCTAGGAATCTAAAATATTTTCCCATCTGTCTTCAGTTGTGCCAGCATCTTTGCCTACAAATTGACAGTAAAATGGCCCCCAAACTGACAGCTGTGCAATAGCACAACAGTTGACAAACTGATTTATTTACCAACTCTTTAGGTCCTTGGATCAGTGATTTTGTGAAGTGCTTGATATACATAAAGGACAACAAATATATGTATCTAAGTAAAAATAATTATGGTTAGAGCTCTGTACCACAGACCTTTTACCTCTCCCATATCAGCATCTCTGTGGCACACAAATGTTTGCTGAAGTTCAATAATGTATTTTTGAAAATTGACTCCACCGTTGAGGTCTGACAGTTAAAGAAAACATTCAGAAATCTAGCTGGACAAGTACAAGCCTAAAGGAGACTATGGATTCTGGCTGTATCTTTATATTCCTTTTTCTTCTTAGGAACCCACAATACAATAGACAAGCAACCTTCATTTATACAATATGACATTTATATAATATGACACTGTATAATATAACATTCATGAAGATTTTTATTAGGGAACTTTTTGTCATATGTACTGTGTTGGCAAAAGAACCATAAGTAGCATCTTCTAGCAGGCACATTTATGCACATCTCTAGACACTTCAAGCATACCAAATAATGATTTCTTATTTGCCCTCACCACCCCCACTGGCACTGAAAAAAGTCTAGCAAAAGCCCCTCCCTATCAAATGGTATCATTTTGAAATGTTCCTGAAGCACAGATGAAAAATGGGAACAACAGGCAGCTGTTTTCATTCCTCACAATCTCTCCACCATTTGACAAAGCTTCAAGTGCTTCAAGTTTCTCTTGCGCTTTTGTCTGAATGTTGGCATCATCTGGTACAGCAATATTTATTGGACAGACAGACCTATTTTCCATGGTGTTGTAGATAATTTCTGGTCCACTGAAGATCATAGTCCGGTTATAATGTATGTTACTTTCCCATGGGTGATTTACTATTATTGTGCTGCTGTTTTTCATGGCCCCTGGAAAAAAAACAGCATAGAGGTGGGGCTCAGCAGCCGCCCAAAATTTTAGGGGCAATATTCATTAATCTTATCTGGACAATGCAGACTTCTGAAACCTGCTATCTTTCAATGCTATCTTATCTTCCAATGATGCCAACATTAATTCCGCTATTTCCACTTACATGTTATTAATACTTCATAAGTGCATGATAAACTAAAAGAACCTACCTTGTCGTATAAAAGTCTGGCTTGTGTCCAATAATATATCACAACCCTCCACTATCATTCTTTCTATTGCAAGATTTTTCCGTATGTTTTCTGTGTCACTTACTTCATCATGCATCACTCTATTGTAGAAAAGAAAGAAAAATAATTTTAAAACTCCTACATTGAATTTGTAACAGCCAAACATAATCTGTCAAACTTAATTTGTAACTGCAAAAATACAGTCTACCAAAATGCCACGCAAAATGCCCTGTGCTTCAGAGATAACTTGCCCAGTGAGAAGTCTCCTGTGTTCCTGTTCAAGACTACTGCACATAACCACTACAAGACATGACCCCAAAGGGTACTTCTTAGGAAATCTTCATATTTATCACCAAGTAGTCTTCAGAGTAGACTGCACAGTATACTCTTGTCTCCATCAGCCATATCAGCCAGCAGAAGTAAAAACTGGGCTGTGATACTGCATGAAAGTGCCATAGGAGTTTGATGCATGAATAAACTATATCCAGCCTCATAAAGAGAACCACCTATACATGCCCACAGTTTGCATCTGGTCATTCCTCTGATAAAAGACTTACAGCATAATGTTGGGGGGGGGGGGAGAGCACTTAGGAAGTCAACAGGCTGCTATGATAGCATATCTCCAATATACACTGTTGTAACTTGGGAGGCATGCCAGCATAATGCCCTGGTGGTTCCAGAAGCCCATGCAGCCCCCCTATGGCCACCCACCACTGTCCTGCTGACTAAGGGCTGGGGGCATGGTGGGAGTTCGTCAGCTCCCTCAGCTGTCCCAGCTACAGAATGCCCTCCAAAGCCATTGGAAAGTTACACCAGCAAGAATCATAGATTCCAAGTGGAGGCAGAGGAAGTAAAGGCCACCCTCCCAGCTCAGCCCATCTAGTAGGTACAAGGAGAGAGAGTCGGGTAGTAGTATGGAATGTGTGGGGGGAGCCCATTACTCCTGTACGTGGCTCCGCTATGGCCCAGACACCATCACCTACCATCACCCCCAAGTAGTGTTGCCAGGTCCATCTGAAATGGGAGAGGGAAGTGATGTCAGTGATGTCTGGGGGACACTGTGGTTTTTGGGCAAAACTCTATGGTAAAATCAGCCTCAAAGTTTTGCCCAAAAATGTCATTTCCACCAACACTTGCTTTTGGGGGGGCCCCCCAAATGTTTGCCCTGAAGCAGTGGAACGACTCATTCAGGCCAGCCCAGAAGCATGCACCTCATTTCCCAATTGATTCACTTTATTTATATCCCACCTTTCTCACCAATGTGGACCTAAAGTAACTTACATCATTTTCATCTCCTCCATTTTATCCTAATAGCAACCCTAAGAGGTAGTTTAAGCTTAGAGTGTGTGACCAAGGTCACCCAGCAAGATTCCATGGCAGAGTCCACTTTAACCACTACACCATACCCAGGGGGTCCTGTCTGAGCAGGCAGTGGTGGAGGGTCTGCCCAGTGCTGAGGTCATCATGCACACACAGTGATCCCTCCCATCGTGGTGGGTGGCTGTGGCATTGAGGTCCTGTCTGGTGGGTATTTCCCCCCCCCAGCACAGGCTCACTCCTTACTTTTTCCCCTGTAGGTGACTCACTCAGCAAGACACCACTGCTGAGCCAAGGGGTACCAGGGCCAAAGAGGGGGCTGAAGTGGCCATTGTCTCAGGGATCAAAGGCCCAGCTGCAGATCCAGAGGACAAGACCATTGATGGCATCACAAGCTCCTCAACCACTGAGCTGACTGCTCCTTTGGGCCCCTGGTGGTATGTGCCCCTGCTGCTTGTCCCATGGCAGTAAACCAAGAATAAATGGAGGTCAGCAATGGAGTGGCCACCCCCAGAGTGGCAGCTGCAGGAACGGACAGGGATAGAGGTGAAGTGGCTATGGATATGGGATACTGGCATTCGCCGGCGGGGCTTGACTTATGCATTGCTCTCCATTCCTTTGCTGTCAGGCCCCAGGTATAGGACCATGGCCAGCACAATGCATTCATCCACTCCTTCTTCCATGTGGGTGGCAATCAAAAGGGAGCAAATGGAGACCTGGAGCGATTGGAAGGTTGCTGTGTTCCCAGGTCACCAGTGCTTGGAAGAGCTCGTGGCAGCTCTGGGGACAGCTACTGGCACCTGGAGTGACTGGTGGCTTTCACAGAGGATATGTATGGCAGGCAGGTGTGCACTGAGGGGTCGCTTGGGGACCTGTCAGTGGTGATCTGTGCCCCCGCCAGCCCCCACCCCTTCAACACCCCCCACTCCACTGGTGGCAGGGTTGCCTGGGGCATGCCCTAGGGCCAGCCACAGCAGTCTGCCCATATTCCTTTTGCTTTGCCCATGCGACTTTCCTGGGCCATGGAGTGCATGACCCCTCCACTTCCTGCCTCTCAGCTCACATCCCCGAAACACCAGTACCCTAGGGCTGCCACCCTGTGATTGTTTAGTTTCCCCTGTTCATACCAGCCACCCCATCATGTCTCTGACCTCTGGGAGGCACAACAGTGCAGTTGCTGGGGATGCTGGCCCAGCCATGGCCTATGTAGCCCCCCTGCTGGGAGTTTTGTCTGATACCTGGCCTCTGCTGAAACCACTGGCACCGCTGTTGTGCTGACAGTTGGCCACCATTGCTTCAGTGGCTCTCGTGACTGTGCAAATGAGTTTTGTGCTTACTTAAAATGGTCTCAGGATATAGAAGGAAATTCCTACTAGCAATTTATGTGACAACTGTCCTTACAGCATATAGTACTGGTCTTTCAACAATTCTCTTAAAAGTCAGTTGCAGACATTTTATAGTTAGATTGGAGTAAAGCAGCACTTTAGAGACTAACAAGAGTTTCAGGGTATAAGCTTTCAAGAGTCAAAGCTCCGTTCATCTGACACAACATACCTTGAAACTCATGTTAGTCTCTAAGGTGCTACTGGACTCAAATCTAACTGTTCTGCTGCAGACCAACACAGCTATCCTCTGCGACGTTTTTATATCTGCTATTCCAAAAGGTGCAATAATTTAAGCTTTTTAAAATAATGCATTGATTTTATATTTTATGGTTTCTAATTTAAACTCAAAAACATGGAACAAAAATAATCTCACCTTGAAAGTTCTTCTAGTTTTGATTTAGCAAATTCAAGACTCTTTCTCTCCACATGTTCATGTGGTGTATGAGCCAGAAGTTCATGTAATGTTATAATGTATCTAGGAATCTGAAAGCAAATGAGTTTTTTTAAATATATGATAGATTACAAAACAAGCACTTTTTCATTTATTCTATTTGTTTCTGTAACACTCACAAAATAGTTCATTTAACCTGGTGTGACAGACCGCACTTTTAAAAGCTTAGAAGTGCTGTGCAAACAGCTGAAGGACTATGAGGAGTTAATTCTTCACAGAAACAGACAGCCTTGAGTGTCAGGCTGCTCTAAGCAATCTGATTGGTTAGCATCAGCTGAGCAGAGAAAGACTTGAGAGCTGCATGCTGAGGATACAGTCAGATTTCTGCCTTGACTGAGTTGAGTACTGACAGTGTGATTTCAGCCCTAGCTGAGAAGAGTCAAGTACTGACAGTTTCGGAATTCAGCCTTAGTTGAGAGTAGTTTAACACAGACAGGAGAACTAGGGGAAAGTTGGCAAGGAAGTCTGGGAAGTAGGTGAAAACTCCCATACAGGCCAAGGAAAGGGGACAGATCTAGAGAGAGAAGAAAAGAGTGCACCAGCCTTCTGGAAACCAAAAGAGTCAGAGAATACTCAAAGAAAGTGTACTGAAGTGTTGGGGGAAACACTTGAACAAAAAGCCTCTCAAAATAAAGATTTAAGTCACTGTAAAAAGCTTACAAAACTCTCAGCCTGAAATGTAAGAAGTAAAGTTTGTGCATGTACCAGTTTTACCTCAGAAATTTCAACCCGATTTCACCTGACAACTTCCCCTCTATGTTAAATAAAATATTTTGTTAGTTTTGAATTTCAAAACACCTTGAGTGCCATTTAAGTTGTCTAAGTTAAAACGGGGCTCCTGATCCTTCCCTCAGGTTCCTGGACTGAGCAAACAGCCAAAATATTGTCCTTTGACAGGGTGGGACAGCCATAGATCTTCAGCAACGAAGAAAACACATTACTAGGGCAGCTCAGTCAGCAAAGGGAAAGAAAAATGGAAGAAAAATCTTGCCTCTGAGGGAGGGAAGTGGACGGGGCCGTCATAGTGTCCATCCCTACTCATCAGCTTCATTGGATGCCCTCGAGTTCTAGTATTTTGGAAGAGGGAGAAAAAGTTCTCTTTGTCAACTCTCTCCACCCCAAGCATTTGTATAAATCTCTATTATGTCTCTTTTCTAAACTGAAATTTCACAGACTCTTCAGACTTTCCTCATAAGGAAGGTGCTCCAGTCCCCTAATCAGCTTGGTTGCTCTCTTCTGTACTTTCTGCCTCTAATACAACCCATGGCCTTTCCCTTGCCTGTTAGCATTTCTTGCTCATCTTATATGCTTCAGTATTTTTTGGAAGCCATAACATTATGTATTTAGTTTGTTTAAAACAAGTGGTATGTGTGTGCAGTAAACAGATGTATTTAAATTTAAAGTAGAACTTCAACAATGCTATGGAGAAAATCTGTTTTTCTGTAATACAAACATTTCAGATGACAGTATAACATAATTATACATCACCTGCACACATAGTAAGGAGCCATGGCTCCCTGATGCCTAGTCATAGATCATACTTGTCATATGAAACAACCTCACTCAGTGAGGCAGCCCATGTGGGGCCTATCTCCTTGCTTCCTTCCTAAATTTTCAGCTTTCAGTAGAAAAACAAGTATCTGGCCTTTCTCTTTGTAAAGATACAGGAAGACGTGAGCAAGTGTTCTGCCTACTTGTGCACTATGAACAAATATGTTACTGCTTTCCAGTGTCCTGGCCAATGAACAAAGGCTCTGTGATAACTGACAAGCATTAGGTCTTTATTTTTATTTTTTTATTGTACTGTAATGCGAAACAAGTAGTTGTGAACATACTAGACTGTTAGACGTATGTCCTTGGCTGTTCTTCAGTGATTTTGCTGCCCTTCACCACGTGTTGTTTTAATAAAGTTTAGATTGTTTACAACATACACCTAGTTTAAATGACTAAGATTTTATTGAAAAACCTACATGACTTTGGATCATTGTTCTGATTAATCCCTTTATTCTCTAAATGATATCCTGGAGTGTGTCCAAGTCAGATAGTACTTTTGTCGTAGCTCCCCCACTTGGAATGTAGGGCTATCTATCACAGCATCTGTTCATCTTATTATTTTATGTGTATGTTAAAGACATAACTTTTGAAGTGATCTTTAGCAGATCAACAAACTGAGAACACAGTTTAAAAAAACCTACTTGAGAAGTACAAGTCACAATATACACATATATGCATACACACACATATACATATATACTCTGCTTAGGATAGCACTGAAATACTGCTAAAATATTCTCAGAATCCTGTAATATTAAAACTTTCTACCGTTATAAGTTTGCTATGATCCTCATGAGCTGTCAATAATTCAAAAGCTAAAAGTCCTTATTTAAATACAGAGAACAAAAAGGGCATCACTTTACATAATTTACATTTTATATAATTATTCAATAAAACAGGTACCAAAATATCCTGAATGTGACAAGGGGGGAAATTCTCTAATTGGGCTAGATTTTGATGACATAGTGTATCTTCCTGAGAGGAGTGCATTTGTTCTGATTAAGCAGAGACTTGTTGATATTGAAATGCAGGAACTTAGAAGTCTTGCCTCTGGTAGGTGCTCACCTCTGAGGTGGGGGATGCCCTCTAACGGTTCTTTGCCTGAATATTTTGCCTGTCTGACAACCCCTGATCTGCGAAGAGCATTCATGTTAGCTCGTTTTAATGTTCTCCCTTCTGCTGTATTGTACAGGAGGTTCAAGAAAATCCCATACTCGTCTAGGTTTTGTGCCTGTGGCTTGGGAGAGATTGAAAGTATCAAACACGTTCTCCTGTACTGTTCCTTTTACTGTGACATTTGTGCTGTTTTTCTAGAACCCCTTTATCAGAGTCAAGCAGGGCAATATGATGACTAAAAGATCATTTCACTATTATCTTCCCATAACTCCGAGATCATAGAAGCTGTAGCTAAATTTCTCTGTTGTGCTATTAAGAGGAGAAGATTGTTTCAGTTGCAAGGGCAAAGGACGTATCCTTGTCTCCCTGCTGTATGTTCTGTTGATATGCCAAATAAAGGTTCTGATTGATTGATTGATTGATTGATTGATTGATTGACAGTAAATTCCTTGATTTAGGAAGACTTTAATCTGTCTTCTACTTTCAGGAGAGAATTGATTATGACATGATCTTTTATTCAGATTATCAGAATTTTTTCCCACAAGGCATTTTCTCAAGGAATATCTTAATATTTTTGCTCTCAGTTCCCCAATATTTAAAGATATTTGAACAAAACTAGGTTTTAAGAGCACCTAGTTAGGATACTAAAAACAATAAAATTAGTTTTGTTGCTCTTCACATTTTACTATTCCAAAGACAGGCTTCAGCTATGTTACTGTTATAATGTTACTCATATTTATTTTAAGTTTAAACATGGTATAGATAGGAACCAGGAACATAGCCAGGATTTCTTAATTCGGGAAGCCTTTAAATAAGTCGGGGGACACTGAAATTAAAATAAAAAGGGTGTTTTTTTAAGCCCTGGAAGCCTAGTGCTGGGGAGCTGGCCTCTGCCAGTGCTCTAGCTGGGCATCCAGGTGAAGGAAGATGAGGAGGTGCAGGAAAAAGGAGAGGCAGAAGAGGAGGAGAAAGAGGCACCTGCCAGCCCACGGGCCTACTTGCCTCGTGCATCTTCCTCACAGTCCCGTGCTGCCACCAGCTCAGGAGCCCCAGCCTCTCCCCCCTATGTGCCCTGGAAGCCAGGTGCTGCAGAGCACTCTGGCTGGGACTTCATCTCTCAAAAACCAAGGCATGCCAACACAGGCGAGGTTGCAATGGGACTGGCTGGGGTAGGGCAGGGGGAGCATGAAGCTCCAGCTGCTACTGGCGAAGTCCAGGCAACTAAGGCCGCTCAAAGGGGAATGGGAGCCGGGGCTGGGAGCAGGTCTCCATTTGTCTTCATTAGGGGTTGTGTTTGCTTTGAAACTACTTTCGCACCAGAATGATTTCACCACTAACAGAAGGGGGCAGGAGGAGTCTCAACAGAAGAAGTGAAAGGAAAGAGGGGGAAAAACAGAGGAAAAAGGAGAGCCCCACTCCCCACTCCAGAAAGAGGTTCTGCAGCCCCACTGTGCCCACTCACTATCCCGTACTGACTGTCGGCGCCTGGGCAGGCAAGCAGGGGCACTTGCTCACTCTGCCTGGTGTGGGAGGGACTGGCTGGGGCCAGAGACAGCGAGGTGGAGGTGGCCGCTGGGAGCAGCCCGGTTGGGGGCAGAGCGGAGTGCCAGGGGATGAGGTGAGAGAGGAGGGCCGCGCTGGGCCACCAGGCACTCTGCTCATGGGCTGGCCAGCGAGCGCTTCTCGGCTGGGGCCCACCTGGTTGCCTGCCTGTTGCAGGCAACAATGCGCCCCGAGCACATGCTGGGCCGGATGTGCCTGGCCAGCCCCTTTGAGGCCAGCAAGGGGGGTATGAGGAGGAGGAGGAGGAGGAGAGGCCAGCAATACAGCCCTGGGGCCCTTACGTGCCCATGGAGCCGGCCTTGCCTGGCGGGGGCATCTGTCTGCTAGGTGCAGGCCAAGCAGAAGTCAGGAGGCCTCAGAAGGAAGTCAGGGGGCCAGGCCCCAGGAGGCCCCACCGTAGGTACCGGCCTGATAGGAGCTCTCGGCCTGGGGCAAGTGATGCTCTGTATTCTTGGTGCTTGGGGGGGGGGCAACACTGGGAGGGCTTCTAGTGTCCTGGCCCCACTGCTGGACCTCCTGATGGCACCTGGTATTTTTGGCCACTGTGTGACACAGAGTGTTGGACTGGATGGGTCATTGGCCTGATCCAACATTGGCTTCTCTTATGTTCTTATGGTGGTGGTGTACAGTGCCATCAAGTTGCAGCCAACTTATGGGAACCCTACAGGGTTTTAAAGGCCAAAGGTGTTCAGAGAGGATTTAACATTGCCCACCTCTGCATAGCGAACCTGGATTTCCTTGGTGGCCTCCTATCCAAATACTAACCAGGACTGACCCTGCTCATCTTCTGAAGTCTGTGTCTAATAGATGTATGCTTAAAGGACATCAATTTTGTGCTTTTTCTTTTTTAAATTATTCTATACTTTATATAAATATTGGTGCCAAATATTATCAAACATAGGCTTCACCCAAACAATACATCAAAGTGCAGGTTTAGATTCTGTTCAAACATTCAAACACCACTTTGTCAGTTTCACAATCACTAGTCCCATGAGACTCTAGTAATTTACCCATTTCAAATACAATCTTTTTCAAGGACCATGATGTATAGGCAGGTCATAAGGCGCAATAATTTATCTTTGTGAGTATAAAACTCTTAGGATAGCAGCATACTTTCTAAGGTCCCATCAGAACCCTTGCGGCAAACATAATCACCTATCTAGGAGACCATATCTGTCAAATTCTGTCAAATGTTATCAGAATGTAAACCTGCACTTTGATGTATTGTTTGGATGAAACCTATGTTTGATAATATTTGACACCAATATTTATATAACAGTATAGAATAATAAAAAAAGAAAAATAAAAACCACAAAATTGATCTACCTTAAGCCTACATCTATTATACACAGTGTTATATATACTTTTGCACTGTGACTCTCAGTTTTTGTATTAACTTCTGAGGTCGGACAAAATTGAGCTAGCCTCTGTCATCCAGGTAAGGGCCAGTTTAAACATAATAATACATATTACTTTAATGTTAGATAAACTCCTATTTCACACAAGCTTGGAATGTAGGAGAAAATAACTTTTTATTTCATAGGAGTTTTAAAATGTATTGAGCTATCAAGTACTAATGTCTCTTTAATATCTGACTGTGACACAAAAGGGTGAAAGCTCAAAAGACATTTCCATCAGATAGAACGAATAAAATCGAAGTAAGTACCTAAAGGTTAATGAGATATGAATACATAGGCCCAATGATTCCGTTAGTCAAATTTAAAAATAATAAATATTAACAGATATACAAAAATATACATGTATTTTATTACAAAGTAAATTAAAACAGATATTGGCCTTCATGATGACAACCAGAAGTTACCATAACTGACCCTGACCATACACATTTTGGCCCACTGGCCTTCCTCAGTGGTCGAAGAAATGACATTACAGGAATGGTTCCTGACATTCCAATACAACAATCATTTCTTATAAATTGACCAAGATGAGGGTTTCTTTAATGATTATTGTCTGTGGCCAAAGTTAAAGATATTAATGAGAGGCCCCATTCTCAAGAGTTTACTGCCATGTTCAGGTACACTTTCCAATAGCAATGATTCGATTATGTACCTAATTTTTAAAAAAGATATTCTTTCTCACTTGGTCAGAAAAGTTACTTTCAGCAGTAATTTTAAATTTTACTAATATGAGCCTATATAATCACATCTTCTTAACCTATAGGTATTTAATTCAATCAAGTTTGGGTTAAGTCCCCCCCCCCTTTTTTTCACTTACAAAATTGAAGCAGCCATCCAGGATTCTAATCAGTATAATTTGATAGCCTTTATAAATGCATAATAATAAACATTACCTGAAACATAGGGTAAGTCAGAAATGTCTCAAGCATCCGTCCCTCACATGCAGGATTGGCTTCATATTGCTTCAAGAGTTTGTCAAAATCTCTGTTCTGCTTACAGTTTGCAAGAACTTGAAGACTATACTGGTGATTCCGAACGAATTCTTGATAAATATTCAGCATAGGTAGCAGGATATCAAATAAATCAGCTTAAAAAAAACAAAGAAAAAGTAGAAATATGCCATCATCTGCCCTTTTAAGCAGAGTATTTACAAGAAGAAATTAAAAGATTAAAGTGACATGGTCGAATTTACCTGTAACTGATGTTCATCAAGTGTTCTTCTGCCTGGGCACATATGGGAACTATGCATGCGCAAGCCAGCCACAGACATTTTAAAAGCTCCTGAGAGTGCAAGACGCTTTCCCACTGTTCAGTGCAGTTTCCCACCAAAAGCACCTATAAAAGGGGGAAAGCCCCTCCCTCACTTTAATGAGGAGGGAGGGATGTGTGCCTGCACAGAAGAACACTTGAACATTAGTTACAGATAAGTGCAATGATATTTTCATCATCCTGTCTTCTGTACGGCAGAGCCATTCCAGGAATTGACATCAATGACATAGTGTCTGATGAAGGTCAAGGGGTAGATCATAGCATTTACGAATGACAACCTGGCGGGAGATTATCTGAGTGAAGATCTTAGAACCTGTCTTTAGGTCCCCAAAAGCCGCAAAGGTTAGATCCTTCTTAAATGGGGCAGTCCTATGGAAATAGAAGGATAGGGCCTGTTTGAAATCAAGTGAGTGTACAGCCTTTCTCTTAGCATTCTTCGGGTAAGGAAACAATAGAGGGAGCACAATGTCCTTGTTCAAGTGGAAGGAGGAAATCACTTTAGGCAGGAAGGGAAGACTAAGTCATAGAACCACTTTGCCCTTATGAACCAGCAGCAGTTCTGATGGTCCTTATATTTCTCTCTTTTTAACTTTCAGGTAAGAAGAGACCTTGTCACTGGTACTACAACCAGGAAAGAATACACTGCGAGTCTAGGATTCGGGAACTGTAACAGCAGGATCCCCAAGCTTAGGCTTGGTTTTAGACCCCAGAGGGGGTCCTCAGAGGATCTGGGCCTGCTTCGATTTCAGGACAAACTATATGTGCCACTAGGAGAACACCACACCAAGCTGCTGCCTCTGTACCATGACACCAAACATCTGGGCATTTGAAGGTATTCAATTCCTTGCAGATGGTATCCCAGGAGTTCTGGTGGCCATGGCTCTGATCAGATGTCTGTTTGAATGTGACAACCTGCACCAAGTCAAGGATAGACCCGGCAAGCAAAAAGGGTTACTTCAACCACTGCCCACCCCTCCTAGGCCATGGCTCACTGTCTCTATGGAATTCATCACTGAACTGCCACCTTCCAAAGATAGCACCATGACAATAGTGATGGCAGACACCCTCACTTCATAGCTTGTCAGGGAGCACCCTCTTCTGAAACTAGTGCTAATCTTGTACTCTGGCACATGGGGCAACTACATGGTCTTCCTGAACACATTATCTCATGTCGGTGTCCACAGTTCAACTCCTGGTTTTGGAAGGTGTTATTTACATCACTCAGAGTCCATCTCTATCTCTCCACGTCTTGTCACCCCCAAACAGATGGGCATATGGAACACATCAATGCCATCCTGAAACAATATATTTGGTGTTTCATCGACTTCCAGCAAGATGATTGGTCTGACCTCCTTGCATTTGCTGAGTTTGCCTATAATGATGCCCAGCATACATTTACCAACATTTCCAGTTTTTCACAATTTATGGCTTCTACCCCTGGTTCTTCCCTGCAGATGACCAAAATTCTAGGAACTAGCTGCAATCCATGGAGATCTTCACAAGCAGTTAGACCTAGCAAAGCAAACCCACAAAAATCAGGACGACTACAAGTGTTGCTCCAGGGAGACAACTGTGACTAAGAGACTGGTTATCTACCTAATATCTAAAGAGCTTTCCTCTAAGAAGCTAGATTATTGTTACCTAGACCATTTCTCATCATCCAGTAACCTATTGCCCACGGTTTCCCCCATTAATGTGCATTCATACTGTGTTCCATTGATCACTACTGGTCCTGGACCCTTCACATTGATTAGATGCCCATAGTCTAGGGTGGCCTCCATCCATTCAGGTAGATGGGGAAGAGGAATATGAGACTATACAGATCTTGGATTCCTAATTGTCCTGTTAAACACTGCAGTACCTAATTTATCAGAAGTGGTATGGGCAAGAGGAACACTCGGGGGGAAAACATCTGATACTCATGCACCTGACCTTCTCCAGAACTGCCACCACTGTTACCCAGAAAAACCCAGTCCCGGAGGCCATGAGGAAGGCATAGTCATGGGGGCAGGGATTGGTGTCATGACTCGCCCCCAGACTACTCAGTGATTAGGCCTTGGAATCCCTAGGGGTGGAGCCAAAGCCACTGACTGAGGAGGACCAGAGGGATCAGGAGGCACCTGGCACTGCAGAGCCACCGGAAGATGATGCCTCCTCAGCACCAGAGACTGCCTTGCTAGAACCTACAAGGGAAACATCTCCACTAGCCTCAGAGACAGTTTCCAGGCCTCTGCCATGCCAGAGTTCAGCCCACCCCTGTAGCCCTCCAAGATCTTCTTTTAGTCCACAGGAACACTGGTGGCAGAAGGCCTGACACAAAGGAGGCAAAGTGGCACAAAGGAAGCAAAGTGCTAGGTTGGCTGTATGCAGCAACCTTGGACAGTTGGCTCCCCAGTCCATGAATAAGGCATTTGAGACTAGAGGAGAGTTGACACCTCCCCATTATAGCTTCGTAATTTGCTTTTATCAGTGACAGAGCAGCAGAAGCATAGTCTTTAAGACCCAGGATGTCAAGCTTCCACCCTTCCCTATCTACTGGGGCAGAATGAGCCAAACCATTTTGGGCACCTTTACCCTGCAATGCCTTTGTCACCATAAAGTCAGCTGGAGGGTAGGTAAACAATAAGGTCCAACCCTCCTGCTTTGTCTTATACACATTTTCTTTTCCTTTTTGAGGCAACTGGAACAGAAGCCATCCTGACCCAGACATCTAGTAAACTTGCATAATGGGAAAAGCAACAGTGTCCATGGTCTCTGAGTAGAGAAATATAGACATCAGGTCGATGGCCTGGGTTGCAGAACAGGCAACTTCTATATTGGTAATTCATCAACATATAACTGGATTAACCAGTTCAGACCCGCATTCTATGAGCTTTCAGTTCCCTTCTAATAGCATCCTAGAACATTAAAAAAAATTGAGGCTTTGCACAGATAATTCTTTAGGATGGCTGATTTGGCAACTAGACAATAGGGAATTTGCACATTTGCAATAGCATCCTACATGGAAACACAACTTGATGCTTCCTTTATTTTAAAAATCTTTCTACCTGCCATATTTGCTCAGGGTCCTGGACCAACATGTAAACTAAACATGATGATAAAACAAACATTATATTTTTATGTAGAAATCCAATAATTACTCACCTAAAATTAAAGTAGGCCAATTTGCTATTCTTGCTTTTAATCCTTGATGAAATATTTCATGAAGAAACATTATGGTTTCACTAGAAGGAAGAATCAAATAATAAGCGAAATGTTAACTATCATTAGAAAACTATTTAGAAAATATTATTTGCACATATTAGAAATATCTGGATCATATGCATATTTTTTCAGAAGTATGTCCCATTGACTATAAATGGTGCTTACTCCCAAATAAACATATACAGGATTGCAGCCATGCAGCCTGTCTCTATCCATGTTTATTCAAAAGTATCTCCCAATGGAGTCAGTGTGACCTGCCCAGACAGGTCTGCTTAGAACTGCAGCCTAATGACCTTATCAATGGCCTATTATGCACATCTTACTGCAGATTTTCCAAGTACCTGACTCCTTAAGCTTGACTTTGGATTCTGTGCCTGCATTACATACTATTCTTTTTTCTCCAGTGTATTTATTCTGCAGCTACAACAAAAACCTACATTTTTCTTAATTGGGGCGGGAATGTCACTTGTGACCAGTGTTCCCTCTAAGCTGAGTTAGTGTGAGCTAGCTCACAGTCTTTTAGCCTCTGGCTCACACATTTTTGTCTTAGCTCAGGAAGGATGGCTCCAGAGCAAATTAATTTATGCAGTAGTCAAATCATTCACTCACAACTCTAATGCCAGTAGCTCACAAAGTAGAATTTCTGCTCACAAGACTCCACAGCTTAGAGGGAGCATTGCTTGTGACGTGTGGGGGTGGTGTCCAAAGTCTTTTTAGAATTTATGCAATTGCCCTGTTGCAGCTGTATAGTAGCATCAAGTAAGCACCTTCCATTTAAATCCCCATGGTTCACTGTTGCACCTGTGTTTTAGCCTTAGTTGATTGAATGAACTGGAACACAAAAAATGCAGACAAAGGGGGAAATAAACAATTTTGTGAAACTGACAAGACAATTTTGAAACTGACAAAAGCCTCCTTTTCCAACATTGCCAAGTCTAAGGGGATTATCTGCTTTGTTGTTGGCCACTGGGAAAAATGGGAAAGAGTCATAGGAACTTAAAATATGGGGAAACACCTTGAGTGTACAGAATGGCTAGCAGAACCCAGTGACCCTGGCATTGCCAGTTTTAACGGACCAATCTTAAAACAGAATCACAACAATCCCAAGTGGGGGGGAGTGGTGGTTTGCAAGCTCTGTTGGAGTCCAGAAAATGGTTGATTTAGCATTCAGTTGCTAGTCTTGTGTGGCCAAATTTTAAAAAGTAAAGTATGGTGGTTGTAGAGCAATGAAGGAGGGGAGATGGCAAAAGATGGTTGACTAGGAGGAACAACTTTTATGTGGGCAGGGAAGTAGGCATCAAGGGGGAACAAAGGCGAGGGGAGAAATCCAATCAAATCATTCTGCTCTAAGAATAGCTTCAACTTGGATTTGAAATTTTTAAAAGTCACCACAATAGTACTCTCAGGCGGGGGGGCCTGACCTGGATAGCCCAGGCAAGCCCAATCTTGTCAGAACTCGGGAGCTAGGCAGAGCCAACCCTGGCAAGCACTTAGATGGGAGACCTCCAAGAAATACCAGGGTTTGGATGCAGAGGCAGGCAATAACAAGCTACCTCTCTAAAACATCCAAGCCCCACTATGGGTCACCACAAGTCAACCATGACTTCCAGGCACACACAAACAAACAAATAGTCATTATAAAAAACACGGTGGAAAAGGCAAACTAAAAGCTAAGTGAGCACTAAAGGGAGGAAAACAAATGAAGAAACAAAAAAAACCCTGACGGTCATGGACACTGAAAGTCACAGACAATGCACATGCATAATAGGCCTATGTTTACTGATTTATAAGTCCCATTGGAAGTAGTGGGGTTTACTTGACCGTGCAGTCCTAACAGACTTTGACTGGAGTACCTCTGCACATTATAACAGTGCAATCCTAAACCAAGTTACATACTTTAATAATCCATTTAAATCAATGGGCTTACAATGGTGTAACTCTGCTTAGAACTGCATTATAAAGTATATTTTCTCTCTCTTACAATAACACTGTTGGTATTCTTAATATTTGAGGGGTTCATATTTTGAGTAGTATTTAGTTGTTCTTAATTTCTGAATAAAGACAGAAAGACATTTTAGTTAGATACACGTAACGTTGGTTTAACCAACTATGATCAAAGCACTTGGTGCAAAGTAGATTAGCATTTGTAAACAAATAAATAAAATATATCAATAAACACACTACCAATTTATCTGTGATGCGTGTTTGCTTAACCATTTTAGCAAGGACAATATGCCATTAGAGTTAGTAATGAGAATATCAGTATAAGTCAGTTATCTGTGTTCCTTCAGGGAAGGCAGAATTGCTGCTACAGAGTTGAGAAATGTTAATCTATTCTTGCTCTCTGCCCTAAAGAACAGGAACACAGAGCTTTCAGTTTTTAAAAAGCCCGAAAGATTAAACATGTTACAAGTTAAATTGTAACTTAATTTTTTTTAAAGTGAAATACTCTATGGAGAAGGCAAAGAGGAAGACGAGAAAAGAGGCAAATTAAAATGTTGGTGCCAACATTGCTGAATCATAATGGAGTAAGATACATAAAAGATATCAAATACCTGTTAAGGAATATACTGCTGACATCATCATGACTAATTGGTGGTTTCTTTGAGCTTGCAGCCATCCTTAATGGTCTTAGGAAACAATTCACAAGGATGTAAAGCTGATGCACATACTCAGATTCAGCCTCGACCATGTTAAAAACTATCTGGTTTCTCTTCCGCATACTTTCTGCATGTGGAGAGCAAATGTAATCTTGGACAATTGTCTTCCATTTTCTTCTACACAGCCAACCTCGCATAAAACTCTGAACCTACCAATCGAAAAAAAGTTAATGGCTTCAGCAATGCAGGCCACATGGTACAGAATAGAAACTTGGACATTTTTCACACAAGTCTTCACATATGACTGACTACAGAGAAGGATTATTTTTTGTCTACACGTATGATCATCTTGCTAGGGAAAAATGTCATATGTGAAGCAGCACTCAGTTTGCCTTACTATTTTGTACGTTTTCATACCATAATATGTTGTGTTATGATCAGCAGTCCCTTGCAGATATGAGGGCTGCCTCTTCAGTGAAGACAATAGGGAAGTCTAGCATGTACAAGATTACACGTGTATACTAATGTGCAGACAATGAGTGGGGTATCACAAAAAAGGGGAAAATACCCAGCCAAAAAAGATAGGGCAAACCACAAAGGTAGAGAACACAAAAACAGGAAAAGTAGTATGATGTTATATATAAATAAATTAATTCAATTTTGTGCACAAAATATAACATCAGTAATTTAATATGTAAACACCTTAGAAACAGGAAACAAATGTGTACATACAATAAAATAATACACAATGTCAAACAAAATAATACACAGTGCCAAAGACATTTCAGAGTGGGGTTGCAAAGTAAAATCTTTAAGAAAAGGAATCTAATGCTTTATACCAATAGAAATGCCTACAGAAGCTTATATAACTAATTCAATAGCATTAAAAATAAACCACAAATTAGCCAATGGTTATACTAATATTCCCAAAGGCCAGATTTCTTATGGCCTGTTATACCAGCGAATAGGCACCTGAGAAGAGGCATCATTACTATTGTAATATCACGTTTTATGATATTGTGTACTGGCCAGCAGCATTAAAAAAACTTGCATGGAAACAGCATGGGGTAAAGAAGCTAGCTTCCCCACCAAATTAGGTCCCCTATAGCTGCTTTCAAAGAAAGACACTGAGAGTTCTCAGATGGTTTTCACTGAATGCATATGTCTCAACTGGTTTGGCCCTAATTTTGTCTGCCTCTCTTTTGTATTATAGTCACTGAATGTGTTGTACACACATTACTGAGAGAAGATGGCACAGCAGATGCTGCCTAGAATCTGGTAAGGGGCACTTGCCTCCTTCCCCACCCAGTCGGTAATACTGCCTGTATGACAGCATGTGCTTATAAATAAACCACTTGGCACCTGTGCTTAGTAGGCACTGGAGAAAATAGATTACTGAGCAAAAAGGAGCAATTATTTACACAGAATCAAATCAAAGACTGCTCAAAGCCAGTGAGCCAGCCATCTGATAGGTGTAAACAACACTTTAGTGAGACAGACCTATCACTTCACAATCCTCTTTGCTGGTAAGACAATTTTGTACAATCTTTTCACTGGAAAATGTCTCTGTCACATACAGATCTGCTGAGTTTTTACTCAGCCGCTCCCATCCTCTAACCCTTTCAAAACTATGCCAGAATAATGGTCAGATCTGAACATTTCTAAACACTGTCAACAGTCATTTTTTAAAAATGGAGTAGTTATAAAGCTATAGTAACGCACAGAGACTTTTAGTTTGGGTTTTGATTAGTTAGTATCCCAAAGTGCATCCCTATAATCTAAAGTCACTGGCAGCGTTTGACTTTGCAGTTTTGGGTCCTAATGCATGCAAACAGTATTCTGCTGGTATTTTAAAAGAAAACAGTCTACGACATTTTTCAAAACAGTTGGACCTAGTAAAAAACGATCTGCCTACTTCATTGATCAGCATATCTCAAATGTTAGATGATTCTGCTGGGGTTTTAAAATGAAATAGATACCACAACAAACTAAACATGTTTACATTTAACAAACTGAACTATAACAAACAAGCAAGGGACCTACAAGGACTTGCAGGGGGGTCTTCTCATCTTCTCTTCCCCTACAATTTGCTCTTTCTGTTCCCTGAAAATTTCCATAGTCTCTCCCCCCTTTCCTGCTTCCTCATCTCCTTCTCACACATCAGCCAACTTACCTTTATCTAGCTCCTGTCTTCACCTTTCACTCCCCCTACCCAGCATTCTCCCCCTGGAAAACAATGGCTCAGTTGAGTGGTGCCACCTGCCAGGCCCAGTTCAATCATGGAAAACCTGAAAGGACTTGCAGGGCACACCTCACTTTCCCCTGTATCCCTTAAGAATGTGTAACTGGCCCAAGATCATCTAATGCGTTTCCATAGCAGGTGAGTCTAACTTGGGTCTCCCAGAGATCCTAGTCTGAGACTCTAACCACAACATCATACTGGCTTTCATAAGGTGGCTGCTTTTGAACAATAGCAAGCAGCCAGTCCTAGGTGAGTCATCCAAGTCATGTGCTATAAAGGCACCCATTGGTTGCTGCCAGGCCTGGGCTAGTCTCAATGAGTCCTCCCTCTGAGGTCAAAAGAAAAGAGCCCTCTCCCTGCCTTTTACTGAAAGAAACTAAGGCTTGAAGGCTGGCAATACTGTTGTGATTGCCTAGCAACCCCCACAATGCCCCCTGCAGAGTGCATTGATTTCTCAGAGGTAGAGGTTCTCCTTCTATCAATTAGGGGAGTTAACTCCACCTCAATGTTTTGTTTTTCAGATTTTTATGCAAACCTGGGGCTTTTTCAGGTTTGTAGAAAGAATTGTGTGATCCATTCATAGCTCCAGTCTCAAGTATCCGGAAATTTGGCCACATAGAGAATTAGATATATTAACAAGGGGGAACTTGTGAGAAACTCAAGGGAAAATTCCCTCACTGGTCATTCCTTAGGCCTCTGGCTTAGATACCCCCAAGCCACCTTTCTGTACCCTCTCCTCTCACTACCACTTCATTGCTCTACCTATCCCCCCATCCTTGTCACTCCATTCACCTCCCCCACCCTTGCTGCTCTCCCTGCCTACCACTTCACCCTCACTGCTGTCCCTACCTACCCCCTGCCTTCACTGTCTTACCTACCTACACCCTCTAACCTTGGCATTCCACTCAACCCACCCACCCTCATTGTTCTCCTTACCTATCTCCCCACCCTTGATGCAATTGTTACCAACCCACCCCCCCATAAAAATGCCCCTACCTCTTCCATCACTGCAGGACTCACAGCAGCCCCCCCGGCTCACTGCTGAGCCTGGAGTGTCAGAGCTGCAGCCACCACAAAAGTCAGGCAGCCCCCTGTGCCTGCCGGGCCTGCTCTGGCTGCCAGTCTCCTCACCACCAGGACTACCTTCCCCCCCCCCCCAGCACTGACGGAGCCCCTGCCAAAGCCATGTAGCCCTCCATGGATGCTAGGTCCACTGAGGCTGCTAGCCTCCTCATTTAAACTCCCCCTATAACTTTTTATAGTTTTCAAATTCTTCAGCAAACCTGGGATGGTCCCCCATGTTTGGAGGAAAATGTCCTGTCTGTCAGCATGGGCCCATTCCACAGATTTAGATAACCACAGATTGGCCCACACTTAAGGAATAGATATATAGATGGTTAAAAATATGCATAGAGAAACTGATTTTTTTTATTTAAGTGGGATTTGTGGGAATTTACCTTTTTAATTTTTTTAATATCAGGATCTTCTTCTTCTTGGTTATTTTGATAAGGTCGCATTCGTTCTTTCGTCTTATTGAGAGCTACAATCTGGCAAAAGCAAGAGTGGTGTTAAGGGTTTCCATAAGTTTCAGAACATTTAACTCTGGAGTCTAATAAGTTGCAATTTCAAGTCTTCTGGACCCTGCAAAGATTGACTACAGTAAAACTTTGAAGGGGAGGGACTTTGGCTCAGTAGTACAGCATCTGCTTTGCATAGAGAAAGAACCAAATTCAAGCTCCAGTGAAAAGGATCGGATAATAGGTAAAATGAAAAGCCTCTGCTCAAGACCCTGGAGAGCCTATGAGTGTCAGAGTAGAAAGAACTGACCTTGACAGAACAATGGTCTGGCTCAGTGTAAAGCAGCTTTGTGTACAATTCAATACCATAATGACCCTGAGAATTACCCTAGGAAAGGTCTTCAAACATTTAACAACCAAACCAAACAGGGTCATAATTAGTCTCCTAAGGAGGTTGTCAAGAACTTTGCAGAAGACATTACACTTACCTGTATCTTGTCCATCAAGTAGTCTTCTGTCCAGAAATACATTGAGATAGTGCATGAGTGGGCCAACTGCGGAGATGGAAGTTCTAAAGCTTTCCAGGACTTTCTGTAGTGCAAGGATCACTCCCCTGCCCTCTGCTGCACAGCACGTGATCAAGGATGGGGAATACTCCTTTGCCCATTTCTACCCTTCACCACCGTGACACATCATATGATGTAAAAGAAGAGAGCTAACAGTGGGGAAAGGAGGGAGAGATGTGTGCCTAAACTGAAGACCAATTGATGAATAGCAGATACAGTCAAGTGCAACCCTGTTTTCATCTTTATGGCTTCTGTGCAGTATCACAAGCTCACTTACTCTGGACAGACTCTATAGAATAGTTTTACCAATAGCTGACTCACATCTCAAATTTATGCCCACAAAGTAATGTCTGATGAAACTGGAGGCAAATGACCACATAAGAGATGTCACAAAATCATACCACTAAGGAGAGCAGCAGATGACACCAGAGCCCTCGTGGAGTGTGCAGTAACTGGTAGTGAACAAGATTTCTGAGCCAGCACATAGGAGCATTTGATAGCAGACACCACCCATTCAGCAAGGGACTAAGGAGAAACTGAATGACCCTTCCTAGGTCCCCTGTAACAGGCAAAGAGATCCGAATCTCTGTGGAATTATTTTATACATTTTTAATAAAACAATGCTCTTCTAATAGCCAAAATGTGTAGTGTGCACTTTTCTGAAGAGGATAGTGTGGGAAAGAAGACTGGCAGAATAATATCTTGGGAAAGGTGAAAATGGCACACAACCTTGGGGAGAAACTACAAATGGGGATGGAGGACCACTTTGTTCACATGAAATTTAGTAAAAGGGGGAGCTGTACTGTAAGGCACTCAATTCACCCATTCTACAGGCCTATGTAATAGCTGGTGATATGAAATTATTTCAAAGCACAGAAAATTATTTTGATTGGGAATGGTGGGCATAGAGAGTGTGTCCAATCTACAGGGAGGAATGCATAAGTCACAAGGAGTCGAGAATTGCTCCTATGAATTGAACAGACTGGGCAGGCTGTAAATCGGATTTATTCCAATTTACGAACAAACCCAGATCTTGTACTGTATGCGGCAAAGTGGTAGCAGATAGTGCAACCAGGAGCCAATCATCCAGACAGGAATAAGTACTGCAACCCTGCAAACACAGGTGAGCAACAAGCACAGCCATTCACTTTGTAAAAACTCTGGAAGCTGTAATAAGGCCAAAAGTGTACTGATGTACTGGTAATTGACAGCTCCACAGTGGAATCTTAAATATTTCCTGCAGTGATGATGAATAGAGATGTTGAAATAAGTATCTTGGAAATCTAAAACCACAAACCTACTGTTTATTTCCAACAAGGTAACTACTTTAAGAAACATAACCATACAAAATTTGGAAACTTTTAAACATTTATTCAAATCTCTGAGGTCTAAAATTGGCCTCTTTCCTCCCTCCTTTTTGTCCACCAAAATAATGAGAGTAAAAACCCTTAATCAGCATATTCAGTGGGTATCCTTACTTAAGAGCTGAGTAACCTCCTCCTGCAGTTTAACTGGAGGAGGGAAAAGGGGGGGGGAAGCAGGGTTATAACCAGGTAACCCTGAACTCTAGGAAATAACCATATTTAGCTATGTCAGAAGGAGCTGAGTGAGACCTAGAAATCTGTTTGGAGGTATAACCTCTGCCACCAGGGAGTTAGCAGGAGGGTGAATGAACAAAAACTTGCCTGCTGGTTTATACATGTTTTCTAGATTATGTGCAGAAGATTGTAGATATGCTGGTTTGGCCCAAAGCCCTGTGAAATGTTCAGAAAGTCTTGTGGTTGCTGGTCAGAAGCTCTTCACTATGGCCCATATATCAGAGATGGGAATGAAACAAATGAGTATCACAGTGCTTGGGGAAGGCCTCAGATGCTGCTGCAGACTCCAGCAATGGAACTGAGTATTGTTGTAAAGAATGCAACTTCCAAGGTTGAGGGCATGGGGAGCATGGCAGATCAACACCAAGCTCTCCTTCAGACAGCAGTGAGCTGTCAATAGCCCTTGGATAGAGCTACAGAGTACGAGGAGAGGGCGCCTTGCCCTCCTGTCCACAAACAGTAGTTCCAGTGTCCAGTGCCAGCACCTGGCCCTGGCTCAGTTGGGCTCCTGGTGCCAAGCCCAATACTGCATAGCCCCTCCAACATTGTTGAAGCCTCAGGAAGGGAAGGGAGAAACCAGGTAAAGGTGATGCCGCCAGGGAACAGAGAAGGAGCACCACCAGCAGCAACTGGAGGGAACTAGGCCCAGAGCCTCCTGCAGTGGTGTCCTGGCCAAGACAGCTTGATGATATCATCAGCTGGCACCAGGCGAGCAGCAGTGGCCAGGAATACACCCCAGAGGGTTGACCTGCCCCAGAACCACCCAGCCCAGTACTAGGTGGTAACAGCCCATTTCCAGCCAGCATTTCCAGACATATGGCTGGCTTGGGTGGGTCAGGGCTTGGGCAGGCTTTAGCAAAGCCAGTGCTAAAGAAGAGGTTCTAGACTTGTGCCTAGACTTGGTCTTGGCTTTCTTTGGGAGTGCTTCTGGCAAACTCCTCAGAACCAATGCCACTCTACACACAGAATAGGCAGGTGAATCTGGTGACAGAGTTAGGGTACTGACACTACATGCCCTTTTCTCAGGATCCAACTTCCACTTAGAGGAGGATGTCAGTTGCACCGATAAACCCTTCTCCTGGAATGCTGACTTCAAATGGGAAGCCCTCTCGTCACACATCTCCAGGCTGAATTGCTTACAAAAGGCACAAGCACTTATGTTATGAATCTCTCCCAAACAACACAACTTATGGTTGTCGGTCTGAATCATTTTGGTGCTGCATTCAGTGCACTTTTTAAGAGGGCCATTCTGAGGGAGAAAAGAAGCTCTGATACCCTGTAACAAGGAATTTTTGATAGATGTCGAAAAAGCAAAGATCTCATCAAACTGCGTGGAAAGCCAAGTAAGCAACAATCCTTCTTCCGAAACAGCAAAGGAAGAAGATCAAGATGGGATCAAGATGCATCCACCTGGACTGAATCGAGACCTGGGTTTCCTGTCTCATTACCAATGCTGATTTCTCCCCGCCTATTACCTCTCTGCATATCACACCTAATCCAATCACACCTGCTGTTGTCATTCACCTACTAATGTCATTTGGCATTTGAAATCACTCCACTTTCCAATATATATGACAGATGGACTCACATTCTAGCTGTATCTGAAGAAGTGAACAGTGACTCATGAAAGCTCATATCCTAACACAATTTTTTTTAGTCTTTAAGGTGCTACTGGACTCTTACTCTTTTCTATAGCAAAGGAAGAACAGAGGGGTTCACTGCCCCTCCTTGGACATGTGCTGGTTTCA